ATTATACAAAATTAAAAAATTTTGTCATTGTTGTATTCATATGTTTTTATAAATGAAATGCAAATTCTGTTATTCGACATAAGAATACAAGATCTAATAAGTTTTTTAATTGACTCGCAAAATTTCTAAAATTTTGTTTTGTATAATTAGTGCACGCAATTATTTTATCCTATTTACAGATGATGCATTAATTAACAAAGATGAAGATTATTTCATGCCATCGCATATAACAGTAACAACATGGAATGTATGTCTTCAATCGCCAAAGTTATTAATGCTGATCATTGTCTGAGAAATGTATTAAACTTATTATTTAATGTAGGACATGCCCTTCTCGGGAGTGGAGCACAAGAACGGAAAATGGAACGGCACCGGATACGCGTTTTACATTTTCAATATGATCAGTAAAAAATTAAACTTCACGTATGATATCGTTCCACCAGAAGAACATATCCTGGGCAACGAGAGCAGAGGTGTTCTTGGTTTGCTGCACGAAAAGGTGCCGGAGAAAATTACGATTCACAAAATGAGCCGCGTAATACGATCACTAGATAGCGAATTTTTATCACTATTTAATTTATATGTATTGTACTTTGCAACGTTCATACCTTTCAGAGCATTGAATATAATGCGAATGCATAAAATCTGCAGTCCAGCGATCACTTTCCCAGAAAACGGCGTTCGATTAACAATTGCAAAACTTCCTGATTTTTTTTTTACAGAAAGTAGACGTGGCCGTCGCATTCCTTCCTGTGCTACCAGAAACGCGACGATACTGCATGTTCAGTGGCCCGCTCGACGAAGCGAAGTTGACGGCTGTAATGAAGAGGCCCAGAGAATCGGCCTCTAGTGCCGGTCTCTTGGCACCTTTCGAGAGAACCGTTTGGCTGCTCGTTCTAGCGTCCTTACTTTTCGTGGGACCGGTTATCTACATTTTCGCTGTTATCAGGCATTCAAACATTTTTTATCATATACTTTCATGAAGACTGCTTTCATTTGAATTGCTTTCATTCTAATCCCCCCACACTTTTGTTTTATATAGAGCAAAACTGTGGCATGATCCGACCTCCGAAAAGTTTAATTTATCCTCCTGCCTCTGGTTCGTTTATAGTTCACTTCTGAAGCAAGGAACTAATATCATAGCTACGACAGGTAAAAATACACTGAAATGCGTTACAACAAAATCGAACAATTATGGATTATTACAGACACAACGCGGATGCTTTTCGCTACTTGGTGGATTTTTATTATGATTTTAACATCATTTTACACAGCGAATCTTACAGCATTCCTCACGAAACCGCAGTTCACGTTGCCCATCAATTCTCTGCAAGATATTGTTCAGAAGGGATACAGCTGGATCACTTACAAAGGTCGTATGATCGATCTTCTACTTTCTCAAGTAAGATCCGAAATAGAAACATAGAACATAGTAAATTAAGTTTTCTAACAGCCCAAAAGATACTAAATGGTTTGGTCCAATACTGAAAAAAAATCATCAGATTTTTAAATGGATGCGAATGTACAAGGGACTCGACTTCATGTCTTCAAATGCATTTATCAAAGTTCTGTCCGTTTGTGAAATGTATTATTCTCTTTCACTTCACAAGCACAACAGAACTTTCCGGTAGATCTATTGTATAATTTGGCTAATGTAAATAATTATTTAAGGGTCGGCAGAACGACTTGAGCCCATTGAACATAAGTAGAAAGCAAGGTAAAGGTGCTTTTCGGAACTATCAGCCGTCGTGGAACATTTTGGAATCAGTTGATGCACGTGCGTATCAGTTATTAATTGTTAACAATTAATTGTTGTTTTCGTTTAAAACATTTTTTTCTAAAATGTCATTTTCCATTCCTTCCACATCCTTTTCTGTTTCTTTCAGATAAACTCTTTCTAGCAGATCAACATTATCTGCAGACTCTGATATTTAAGGATTACGAGAATAAAACGCGACATCATTCGGAGCATAACTCGCGTTGCAGATACGTTATAATGCCCAGTGGCATTCTACTGATCAGTCGTGCTTTTGGTTTCCCTCACGGATCAACTATTAAAGAAGCTATCAACCAAGCGTAAGCTTTCCTACTGCTCACCTACTAAATTCGTACATACAATGAGATTTTCCTTACACGACATTTAGTAAACTAATCCGCCTAATTACCCAAAAATGCTCAGTTCGTTTGCTCTGACCGCCAAAAAGTTATGCACTTTTTAACAAGAATTGTTCTAGTTTTGCTCTGCACTGTAAACTACGTTTCTGATCGATTGCGCAGATTGATGAGATTCGTGCAAATGGGCCTGGTGCAACAGATAAAGGAAAAGGACCTACCGTTAGCGGAGATCTGCCCAGTTGACCTGCGATCCAGCGAAAGGCAATTGCGAAACACGGATCTTCATTTAACATATTTAATCGTAATCGGCGGATATGCGATAGCTGCAGTTACATTTTTGCTTGAGTCAATTTTCGCGACCGTGTTGCGTTTAGTAAAAAGGAAAAGGGAAAAAGCGCGCAATGATCTAATTCTTAAAGATAATCCACGGCATCCTTTGAACACCGGTACTGCGATAGAGGTAAATTACATGAACATGTTAAAGAGGACCTCGCCAGTGATTTATCCAGGACCCGGTAATGTTTCAATGGAAAGGAAACAAATAATCAATGGAAGGAGTTACAACATAGTCATTGATCGGGACGGAGATCGAAGGTTGATTCCGATTAGGACCCCGTCCGCTTTTTTATTTCAGTATGCGGCTTAATTGATTTGTTGATTTACAGCACATATGGGCAACCCCCGACTCGTGCGTGGCCCATTACATTTTTTGATCCAGCTCTATAATTCTATATCTAGATATAGTAATGTATTTATAAATAAATGTAATATTCAACAGTAAACTATTTTGATTCATCTAATATTAATACATTTAAAAATGTATACTCGATTTTCATCAATTATGTATCACGAAAGCAGTTGAAAACTGAGGATGGAGAATTGAGTAAAAAACCATTAAGAATTCGAGAACTGAGAACTGAGAAACGACTATAAATTCGGGGCTTAAACCATAATCTCCGATCCCTTCTCGATTATTTTTAGAAATTATATATATTTAAGTAAAATGTCAAATATCGAACTTCTCATAAAATGTAATATTCCTTTCAGTGAGATTTAATAATAAAAAAACTGCTTAAATAATAATAAGTACATATTAAATATGCCTCTCTTTCTTTCCTTCACCCTCTTTCTTTGCTTGAGTCCCTGTTTCCTGCATGTACACAACAGGGTGCAACAGGGACTGGAAATATGGGACAGACAGGGATAGGAAATGCTTAAGACGATTTTCAAAATAAATAACGACTCTAAATCTAAATCATAGAATTCACGAACGGAGCTTCATCCCTTTGTCCATAAAAGCAGTTTATACACCGTCCTTCAGGTCCATAGGGGACCTACAAATTTCTCTTTTTTTGTTCTGTCGCTTCCACTTACAGACGTTACAGACTCGAGCACGTCACTCGGCCACTATATTCTTATATGGCTATGCTATGGGCGAAAGACATTCTACATGTTGGCAGTACTGAGTTTAAGATACAAAAGTGGATGAGAGTTAGTAAACAATAAATGGAAATCGCGAGGTCGTTCTCTGAATCGCCCGGGCGTGTATGGAAATGGCTATTCCTCTGTACTTCTAAGGTTTCGTCGTTAGTATTTAAAACAAAATGCAGTCAATCAGCTGATACATATATTTTCTGCGAAACTGCAAGCAACTCTCGCTATATTACATGCATTTCGCATGATCGAAGTGCATCCTGTCGCGCGTCCCATAAACCGAAGGTAAACAATTTTCAAACGATTTTCTTATACCCAATAAACTGTTCTCAAATCTTATAAATACTCGGATATTTCAATCAAAAATTAAATTCCACATCTCCTATGGATAATTCGAATTTTTCCTTTTAGGGGAGAAAATTGAAATGGCTGAGGAGAACAATGAAATCTGTGGGTTTCTGGATGTGAAATTTTTCTATGGTAAATCCCGAGTACACAAAGTTAAGAAGAAGACTCTGGGTCATTGGAGAGTTTGGAAGAGGTACTGGTGTTCCTTTGAGAATGTAGGCTCTGGAATGGGCATCAAAGTGCATCTGAACTTTTGCTTTGGCAATAGCAGTGCCCAGTCAGTACCAGGCAGAAGCAATTCCATAATAATCCCACTGGATGCTATTATATGCCGTACACAATCTAGATCCAAGCAATTTGCTTTTGGTGTATTTCCTTCGAAAGACAGGAAACCACTGTTGTATTTAGCTGGTAATTCGGAGATAGATTCGCAAAGATGGATGGCGAACATAAGACAACTGCTAAGACCAAGGAACATCAAAGCTATAGCTGACTTCCATAGTATATCCATAATTGATAATGCACATTCCAAAGCTTCGGGACTAACAGGTATTGTAAATATTATTTTCAGATCTTGTCCCCATACGGGAAACTAATGCAATCAAAAACGGAAATTGTAGTCCCAAGTTATACAAGGAATGTTTTTCTACGGGAAATATAATGAAGTATCTTATAGGACTATATGGAGACTTGACAACCAACCCGTTAGGAGTTTTCATAAGAGACGTTCATACGGGTGAAATAATCGAGAATTTCGAATGGAAAGAGCTTGATCAGTTTCACTTGGCGACAGCAGGTCGGCCCGAGGACGTTAAATGTATCTGCGTCGTTCACACAACCAGAGAGTTCCGCACTGGAATCGGTGAACTCTACGTGTTCTGCCTTGAAGCTGGTAAATTGTTACACGACTTAGTGACACAGGGTCGTGGTTCAAGGCACAAACAAGTGAATCGAAGACCATTCAGCTTAAGCGAAGGTGATATTAGGGCGATAGCGCACGATGAGCTGATGCGAAGTTACTCCGTGGCAAACGAGAGAGTGCACTTGAGACCGTTAAATAAAAGAATGGGTACTAACGAGAGATACGAGGAAATAAGATGTAAAGTGGAGGACGTTCATCAGCCGGAACCTTATAACCGTAACGATAGAAGGTGCTCTAATATATCTACAGCCTCCGGAATTTATGAAGAGATTCCGGACGAGCTTGACCAAATCGCGGTCGTTGCCTCCAGTTTTCATATGGAACGAATTTTTCGTTGTCGATCATCGAACGAACCGCCGCCTTTACCTCCGCGTCAAAGGTGCGCTTCGGAGTCTATGAAAGGAAGCAGGTCTTTACTCATTTTACGAAATTATTTGTTATGCTTATTGTATTGTTACTCAATGCACGTTTCTTTAAGATCGCAAGACGGCCGTGTGTTTTCTGGACCCAGCACCCTGCCTTCGATATCTCACGTAAATTCTATACAAATGGAAAGAACCAGCTTAGAATCGCGCAGAGTGATGGTCGAGTCTAATTACGTTCCTATGTCACCGAGATTGAAGGATATCATCGTGTATAATATGGAAGCTGAAATAGCCTCGACAGAGAACGATTACGTTATTATGCGATAGACATTGAGATATCCGTAAGAAACGTCTGCTTAATATTTGATCTCGTCTCGGAACATATTCTGAGAATATAGTTCAGTGAAATGAACATTTTTCACAAGTTATATGGTAATATTGCTGCAAAACCTTAAATCTATTGATTTATTTTAAAGTTGCAAAAATGTTTTTTGTATGTAGGAAAGAATTTAATAGTTGTATTGAAAAGGTTTCGATTGAAACTCGTGTATTTTGAAAATATCTGTCTAATGAAACGCGATACACTAAGATTGGTTAATTTACTAAGCTGTAAAAAAATTAAGAATAAAGACTACTTTTCAAATATCAATTACTTCCGTAAAATTCGATATGAGTAGCTGAAATGTAACGACCATTCAAAAGTAAAACTTCAATTTTTCCAACTTTAAACTAAATTTGCAGTGTTCAAGCCAAAAATTTCTGTATTACACTTGTTTCTAATGATAAAATTTATACAATTCTGCAGCAATATTGTATATATCATTTCATGTTTAAAATATTCGATTTCCAAGCTAATTTGACTGAACTAACATACAAATACGGAAGATAAGATGTATTCCCTAATTTCAATTAGAATGAACAGGGGTCAGCGATTTAACATTTAAGGGCCTCATTGTACAAAACTTCGTTCATTTTATTCAAATTTATAAATTTGTACATATGCGAGGCTTTCCTCCTTGTTTTTTGGAACTATATCGAAGCGCGTTACTGTCATATTGCTTAAAAGATAAATACAGCAAAAGTTAAAAAACGTTTTCCACTATCATGATTTCTTACTTTTCGTACGTCTTCCTAATTAATTCGTGGATGCCAATTTTGTACCCAATCCTTGATTCGTAAAAATGTCGAACTCTTCGCGACTTAACAGAGCTCCGCGCACGTCGTCTAAAACGATCATCTTCGGATACCTACAAATACGGAATTAAAAAATGATTGTCACTGTTTCGTAATAGAAATATACAATACATTGTATACCGACATTTGTATCGTAACGAAAGGTTGTGAATTTTCTACGAAATATACGATTAGTTTAAAAAGTAAAACAAGAACTAAATTTGTACCCATCATCAGTGGCCCTTTCCCAAGCTTTCGCCAGAGATGTTCTGACTAAATCCTCCACGAGACATTCGATAGCCTGAATAAATAAAACAGATAAATAAGAATTGAATATTCCATGCAGCAGGATTGCAGACGTTCTAATTGCCGTATTAACAGTTAAATTTCTCTACATTTTTTAGTTGACAATTGGGGTATTCCTTAATTAAGAATTAAAATTCAATTCGAAATTAAGCTAATTAAATAATTTTAATTCTTCAATACTCAAATCCAAATCAAAAACCAAATGTTAATTGTCAATTGGCATTTAACTGAATTAAAAATTTTAGTCGCTTATCTGCAACCGCGCAATGAAGAAACGAAGAAGTAATACGTTACCCGCATAATCGTTCGACTGGCCGCGCAGTGAACGACGGAAGGTGCAATTTCTTCTGGAACTAATCTAACACCGATATCTCTGGCAGTCTCACAGACGAAGTCGTAAAGCGGCATCAGTCTCGATTCAAATTCCAATACTGTAGTTTCGGTACTTGCTAGCTGCACACCCTCTTCCTGTTTTTTCAACCTTTTATTGTTTCCTAGCGATGCGTCAATGTTCACAACGTCAATCTCGACGTTCGATTCATTGGATTCACGTGAATCACGTTCGGAATGATCGTTCGATCGATCCAGATGAATTTGAAGCCACTTGTTGAAAGCATCAGGGTCCGTGCAAGTAGATATGGTCTTAACCGCGGAATCGGGTAAACTCTTCTGCTGTTTTATTGTTTGAAAGGCAAAATCGCGACAGAGCGGAGTGTAACCGTGCAGTCGGGCCCAAATCATTATCTCCTTGACAGTCCATAGGTTTTCATTAACGATTTTTTTCTTCAGAAAATTTTGTATCATCCTCGATCGACTCCATTCGCAAGCGTTTCTTTTTGCTACTGTGTAGCCGAAGAAGTCTTGTTCAGTCGCACAGGCGTAAGGATGTAACTGTCTGTAATCGGGGTCCAAAGCATCTTGCGTTATCATCGGCATTCTTCTAATAATAAATCGCAACAGTCCTTGGATATCTAAAACATTTGCAGTCTCGATTGCTCGCAAGACTTCATCATAGAATTCTTTTTTACTCTGAAGCTTGTGTTTGTCTTTGCCTATCGTGATTTTCTGGCGAGACACCTTCGATTCCTTTGATCTGTAATTACATGCTTTTAATGCCTTTTCGGAGGCTAACAGCTTCTCCGAATTAAAGAGACCATTGGTCGAAATTCTATCAGCTATCTTTAACACGGGTACATTGGAATTCATGTTCAGAATAACACTTTTGGAAAGTTGAAGTTTCGTTCCTTGCTGCGACTTCGTGCCATTGGGATTTCGCGCTTGCACTGTGCTTTCTGAGCCCAGTGGCTTTTTGAGCAAGCTAACGCCGCGACAGCTAGCTACAGATGTTCTCAGTTTCATTGGATCATCTATGGAATTACGAGTATGATCTTCCTTGCGCGGAGCAGTGATGTCATTTACTGGTATTGTTTTATTATTTTTAAGAACTAACACATGTTTGCTTCCCGATGGCTCGAACACTGGAGGTATCGTGATTTCCAAAGGACGGAGATTCGTATAAACCTTGGACCAACTTACTGGAGGTATCCTTGTGGTGTTTCTATTAAGTTCAGATGGCGAGAGTGCGCTTTCGTTCATTATTTCTCCCATCTTTAAATTACTTGAATCCCTGTGTAATGATGAACTATCCTTTTCTGCGATCCTCTTCTCCCCATCTTCAGAAAAATCAATCGATGTTGAATGGTCGATAGTTAAATTCTTTTCGAAATCATTCAGGTACTTCGAACTGCAATAATCATGATCGAGTTCTACCAAAAATCGCAGTCTTTGTATATCTATATCTCCGGTAATTGTTTGATCTTCCAAAGGTTCCCTTTTAATAACCACGTCGCAACTTTTCATTGATTCAACTGTTTCATTCAAATCAGATTTGATGCCAACAAGATTTTCCTTGTTGTTTTCCACTTTTAATTTGCATGTGGTTTCGCTATCGTTCAAATCTTGATCAACCAGCTTGTATAAGTTCCGCTTGAGATTTTGAGAATCCGCATAAATCCAAATATCGACCAGCGTTTCGGACCCCAAAGTTTGCAGCCCAGTATAAGTGCGGTCTAACTTCAAATGATGGATTATATCCATTGGTTTGTTCAACGCGCTTTGGAAATGCAGTTGCACCCTCAACGGGAACTCGCCCCAGCCACGCCTCGACAAACAGAACGGGGCCGCGGTAACTTCGACGACGTCATTCGGTCTGTAACTCGGATGCAGGAAGAATCGGACTTTGGTAACGAAATCGTCGATATCGGGATTTTCCTTGTTGCCTCGAACGTACATTGTCCACTTGTGACTAGCCGCATCCTCCCTCCATTCCGGAGGAATCCATTTCGAGATATTGCCGATAATAATACGTTTCCTGACTTTATGCCTGACACCTCTCGATGGGCATTGTGATTCCGGAACGCTGCTCTTCGGCGGAATATATCGAGGAATCTTCTTTGGTCGTGATTCATCGTCCGCTTCATTAAGTCGTTTTTCTGCTTGAGATTCAACAGTTTCTTCTAATTTCTCTATTTTTATGGTGCTACAGTCAATCGTTGATTTACAGTCTAACTGCGTGTTGAAGTGATTCTCATTATTTGATGCTTGATTATTATCTGATAACCTCGGCGCTTTGCCAATTAATTGTTTTATCGCTGGGTGAATCTGTGTCTGCTTCGCTTCACCGTTTTGTGTATTTTGACACTGTTTGCGATTATAAAAATCAGAGACTATTACGTATCGCAGTAAATGAATTATCTTCGAAGCCCTGTGCAGTCTCTCCTGTATTTCTAGAACCTCTTTTTCCTTCGCGTTGATCTCTTCAGAAAACTCTCTCTCAATAATACTTGTTATCTTCCTGGCAGTGCTAGTCCGTGCTGAAAACAATTAATAAACCCAGCTACTTTATTCTACTCTCAGTTTCTTCATTTGATTATTTCTTCAAAAATGATTTAATGAATATTGTTTTTACCATTTTCTTCATATATCCGTTGATGTTTCTCGCTACTTCCATTGGAAGGCCCGTAATCGGGATCCTGATCTTTTAAGGCACTCATTTACCATACTTGATTTTCACCACGTGACAATTTAATCATACAACATTCACAGGAATGAAGATAATATTTTATGTACAGTAAAAGAATATCTGCCACGATATCAGCTATGTCCATTTTTATAAAATAATACTTGTCGTTAAAACCACGGGCATGTGTTTCATTTTATTTAAGGTTATGACCTTAACCATAAGACAAATAATAGAGGTGATATTCGTACAAATCTTTTATTTCTTTTAATCTTTACATAAGAGGGATAAAAATCGATGCATGTTTCGCGACGATCATAAAAACGATTATGCACGAGGTTTGGCTGTAAATATGTTTAATTCACGTATAATTATGTATCATATGGTAATGTCAACGTCAACTTCGCCCATATGTTATATGAATCATTTCAGGAATTTATGACAACACGGAAACACATGTGAAGTGCGTTAATATTCAGCTAAAATTGGCTAAAATTGGACAGGTGTTGTGAAAATGAAATAAACTAGACTTGACATGTTGAGACCTCTAAGGTTGAGACTGAGAATAAAATACATTGAGCTCTGCACTCCAGTTAGATATACAGCACAATGATAAAATGTGATAAATTTGTTATATAATTGTTATCAAATGCTACAAATTAATAGTATTATATACTAAAAGAAACGTTAATTGTAATCCCGAATACAAGTCTGTTATTATCGAAAATAGGATTCTCGATTCCGCTACTAATGCCAAGTCTCTCAGCATGGCTAGTATTCTTATACGACCTTCAGCGGGAGCCTAGGTGAGGATGCGTTAAGTAGTATGAGCGCATTATGGTCCGTTTAAAGTGAATTTAAATTATACATAGTATATGTGAATGCTTTACACGTATATTTTAGCGCTACCGTGATGTTGCTACGTTTTGTTAGCGGACCAGCACAACTTTTTGAAATATTCTGTACATTTATCTTTGTCCATTTTACGAAAATATTGTAGGGAATTCGACTCTTCGACTATTTCTAGGGGCTATTCGTCGCTCGGCAGTGGCAAGAATTGGACTAGTGGTGTGTGCAAGTGTAGTCATGGCCGTCTGACAAAACATTCGAAATAACATGGAATTAATGTAGTGGTTGGTTAACAGAGGGTATCATGTCGTGTTTCTTAGGAATCGCAACGCTATCCTGATTCAAATTCTAAATAGTTTATCGGTAACGCGTCACCAGATCCATTAGTTCAAATCCAAGTATCCACGCACCGCGAGGTGTAGTAGGAAACCATCGTATAGGATAATCTGTGTCGGGGTGTAATAATAAATAAGTGAACACAGGCGATCGTGGTAAAGGAAGATACGGCGGGCCAAGGCGCGGTGAGCGTGGGTCCGCAAGGGGTTCTTCCCTTCTTTAAGAAAACTCTTGTTGTTTAACGAGCGTCGCGTCCGACGGCGACCACCGACGATCGATTACGCAAGATGACCATTCTATCGAAGAAGAAGTCGAACGCCCCGAAAGACAGACGGGAAGGAGGCAGCACGTCTGACGTCGACGTGCACGGGGTGCAGAACGAGCATAATCCCGGATCCATCGCGCTGCCCAATAGCCCGTATCAGGTGAGTGAATCATTCGAGTGCATAGATCAATCGCGGCCTATATACGTACTTTTCCAACTGCGAAACACGCTTAAAATCGACCTTTTGCCGATGGTGACAGGTACGCGCGGCGAATGGTTTCGCCGTTGATCTACATGGGGTACAAGCTGACCACGGGTCTGGTTCTATTGTCCTTACAGGGAACTCTTACGAGGTACGAGATATCCAATTTTTTTTCGATATTAATCGATTACTAATTATTTTCGCTATTCTAACATCATCAACTTTAATCAATACCTGATTCATTATTAGGGTTGTGAAAAGAACTGAACTATTTCATTAATTCAATTAGGGTACTTGAACAAAGAAACAAAGAGCTTTTCAATTTACATTATCTCCTTCCACGTTTACTACACAACACATTAATGATAACACAAATATGATATAGCATCTGTATTTCAAAATTCATGCTTTTCAATTAAAATTTTATATTATAGTCAAGCGTAGATCGTAGAGAAGATAGACATTTTGAAGAAGGAAGTGGTCCCAGTCATGGCAAGCGCCACAGACAACGTGCAAGTCCACACAGGTACTTTGTAGCTTGATTAACAATTAGCAATAACCGTCGGTATTAAGGCGGTAAGGCAAGATCCTGATAGTGATATGATAAGACACAATGCCAATGTCACTAAATTAGTAAAAAATATGGGTTTATACCATTCGATTCTATTTCTTTCATTATCAGAGAATGAAGGCAAAATTCGTTTTAATGTTTAGCATGAGGTACGTTCTAGAACGTCCTGGTTATTATTCACTGAGATTATGCTGATATTTAACAAAATAAGTGTTACAAAGTACAGCAGAAGTCGTAGGTATTATGCTTTGAATTTTGAGAAATTTGATAACAAAGTGTTTTATGTTAGCATGTATTACATCGAAGATTCTAAAACTGCGCAATGACTTTCTTGACCCAAGTGTTGTAAATCGTTTTACGTTTTACAGTAGTTGCATTGGAAGAAATTCACGTACGAAACGTGAGAGAGAACGAGACAGGGGTCGAGAAAGGGACAGGGAACGGGAACGAGAACGCGAAAGACAAGCCACACCACCCACTGCGTCATGCAGTGGTATACAAGGTTCATATTTGTACTATTTCAAGACTTTCATTAGACAGCGAATTTTATGCACTTATAACAAAAGCGGATGCGTAACAATCGTAAATACAGAATATCAAAAGCCGAGTGCGTATTTCAATGTTTTAATGATAAAATACATGCTTATGTGAAACATATCCATATTTTAAACCGATACTATAAATGTTTTCTTTTGCATAAATATTCGCAGTCTTTTATGTAGAATTGAAATTATTTAAAAAATAATTAATACGAAGGACATCATTTTTACTCAGCAACAGATGCCGGAGTCATAGCCAACAATCGTATGGCTATCGCCGCCGCGAACTTAGAACACGAATTAGCAAATGGTTACAATAGTGGCGACGAATACACTGGCAGGACTGGCAATAATCTTACGCTGGCGGAATGGCAAGAGGTTTGTCGAATTAACGTATATTGAGCGAATGTACGATGATGAAATTCTATATTTTTTTTCTACAGAGGGATAGGTGGTTTGAGAAACGAATGCGAAAGATGGGATTCGTTGTTAAGAAAATGGGCGAGGATGGTGCGTGTTTGTTTCGAGCCGTCGCCGATCAAGTTTACGGCGACCAGGAAATGCACAGCGTTGTGCGAAAGCATTGCATGGACTATATTGTGAGTATAGCTGAGTGAGTATATAAAAGAGTCCGTCGGACCGAGGTAAAAGATCGACGATTTGTACGTATCTGATTTTCTAGGCTTCCAATCAAGAGTTTTTTTCTCACTTCGTAGCAGAAGATTTTAGTACGTACGTAGATAGGAAACGACAGGAGTATGTACACGGAAATCATATAGAGATGCAAGCCATGTCCGAGATGTATAATCGTAGCATTCAGTTATATTGTTACAGCACTGGTAGGTATTAGAGTCCGGTTTAGATGGAACCGGGTTTGCAGATTTTTTAATTCTCGCATTAACAATTGACGATTAAATTTTCCCAAATCGTCTCCCAATAATGTTATATCGACCACTTCAGCAGCCTCTGAATTGAGGCAATTAAATCATTTTTATTTTTAATTAGTCAAAACCAAATAAAAAACAAAACTCAAATTCGAAATCCAAAACACAATGTGGCCAATTGAATTACATATTCAATTATTTATCTGCAACCCTGGACGAAACGAAAGATCTATTAATTGATACCTACGAACTAATTACCGAACTCGATTTTCATAGAACCAATCAACATCTTCCACACGATGGTCGAAAGTGATAACGAACCTATTCGATTGTCTTATCAACGCGGTAGTCATTACAATAGCATAGTGGATCCGTATAAAGCCACGATCGGTGTCGGTCTTGGCCTACCGTCATTCAATCCTGGCGCTGCGGATCGACAGTTAGTATCGGACGCGGTTCGCCAAAGCGAGGAATTGCAAATTGAGCAGGTGCAGTATTAAGTTCACTTCGTACGATAGCGAACCATCGCAGCCAATTGATATTTTTGATCGTTGTAAATTTTCAAGTTTTCCTCTTCCGAACAGACGATGCTCGAGGACAAGATCAAAGCGACCGATTGGGAGGCGACGAACGAGGCCATAGAAGAACAAGTTGCCAGGGAAAGTTACTTGCAATGGTTGAGGGATAACGAGATGCGGAAAGCTGTAAGTTCTTTTTACGAGACTTCACTCAGCGACTCTTTGTTTCATTGGCTAGCTGACGGCTGCTGAAGTATATATGTATATTGTGTTTTATTTTTATAATTTATTTTGAAAAAAGCGATCAGCTAGTAGTAGCAGTACAAGTACGATAACGAGCGCTCAGCACAGTCACGCGCATTTTCATCCTCACGGTGGTCGTGGTCAACAGCGTAGCCATACCTCTTCACCAACCACGACCCAAACTAGCCAAGATAATTTGCGTAACTCGCCGAAGGTCCGTTTCATACTATGACGATTTTTAACCGACGTGTCACCCGTCCGTTTCAATTGTTTCGAATCTATAATTCTAGGTAAGCGATTCGGTGAGGTACAATAAAAGATCCCCGCAGCATCAGCCTCAGACTCAAGCTTCTGCCATATCTCATCTCACTGCGGATTATGAGACGAAACTCCCTCAAGAACCGATGCCTGGCAGCAGTAAAGAGGCTCATGCATCGCCTGACATTTCGTTGTTCAACCGTCTTCCTCCTGAAGTATTTGGTAATGCGTTGGAAGTATTAACAATTGCATAATATGCAGACTACGAATATTTATGCATTCTGAACGTAACAATCTGTTATCAATATATAAATATTTGTAGCCTGTTTACCGTACGCAACACTACGAAAAAGATATTTAATAATCGGAAAAATATGTTCTCCATCTGTCCAGGCTTAACTGATTGGGAGGACAGCGACATATTAACGCAAGTCCTCGCCACATCGCAGCAGGAATACCTGGACAGCTTGAAACAATCACGGAGTTCCGGCACTGTCGGTAACGACGCTAACAATATGCTAGATTCCAGTAACAGTTAATTATTAAAAATCCATTTATCGAGGACGAGGAAGTTCGAACGATGAGAATACCGAAGCAAACAAAAAAAAGTATATGCATTTGTATGCAGCGTTTTTCATAGGATGTGATATATCCGAAAAATGAAATAAGATAGTTCTAAATCAAAAGAAACGAATGGAAAAAGTGAAGCAATTCTTAGTGTTATCACATGGTCGAGTCGAAGACCGCCGATGATTGTTTGATGCATACCTAATAAATTTCGATTATCGGCTGATGTTTAAGTTTCGTTGAATCTCAGAATTGAGTTCGAGAATACGTCGAGTTTCCAGATATTAAGATTTTGAATCTTATTTAAATAAGTGTAGATTATTGATTGATCACGAGTGAAAACAATATTTTTGTTTGCAATTAACTAATTTATTAATGGTGCATCTAATATACTTCGAAATTGCGAGAATTTAGAACAACAACGATCACGTAACGGCATGAAGAATTGTTTTATTTTCGATATTATGGGTTTAGAAGGAAAGACACAGTGCATCTTATGGGATACTCTGTACATACCGCGATGTCATATAATTCTGTATCGCAATTAGGGTGTAAGGTGGTTTTGCTTTTCTCCGTTGGAGGTAAATGTTCAGTGAGCATGATATCATCTCGCTTTTCGGGAGATTAAATTAATTAATGGCCCACACGATTTTGCCGTGAGACGAGTGGGAAGCAGTTTCGCGCGCACTTTTTGTTTCAAATATTAGGCTAAGCCATATTATTTTTCTCGTCTGTAACGTTTCGCCTTGGCCTACGGCCAACGTTGTTTTTCTTTTTTTTACTTGATCGATTGCAGTTGTGAAGCGAACTGGGAATAGGTTCTCTTCTACTTCGCCGTTAAATTAAATCTATTTGAAAAATTTTCGACGCGATTTAATATTAACCGAGTGCAATGCAATCCGATCAAAAATGTTGTAGCTACATTTTGTTTGATATATGACACGACTTTTAAAACGCTTTAGAAAGGAAAAGAAATCTTTATTCCGTTATTTGTAAAAAAGACGAATAAAACTACTATGACATGTAATTTGAAAGTGATACTGATCTCTATAGAACACTGGATGTAACAGTGGGTTGGCATGGTTGAAGTAGCAATAATTAAAGATTTCAAATATGTACTTTTGTTTATTGTATTAGCACTCATATTTGCGGTTCTCCTTAAACTCTTTCGAGAGACGAGACTTGAAAATAGATCGAGCATTAAAATCTATAGTTTAAGAAGAGTTTCTATTTCTTCTATTGGCAAGTGTGAGAGTCTGACATGTCTTTTCCTAAAAAATCTGAATAAACCAAAAGCGACTTTTTTCGTTTTGATTTCCTCTATTAACTGAGAGGGTTTCCAATAAAAAATTCAATTTCCTTGTGTCGACCTATCTATCTTAGGGCTCAATAAAACGAAAACTACTAGTGGGAGCATACTTGCACTCCCTCATTTATTTATAAGTGATTTCAATAAGAGAAACTGTAGAAGAATAAGAAGGATTAAATGATACAGAAATACATACTCTTAATTAAATACTAAGAATTAATTAAATTAAAAATGTCGTTCTGATTGCGTTTCCTACCAGTGAGAATTTCGAAGAATATAATTTAGTTTCCCAAATGCGTCCATCAAATATTTTAAGATATACTAATTATTATGTATTAAAGGATTCATCGATCGCATATTTGGTCGGATCGTCTAGTTACGTGGCACAATTAGGATTACATATAATTATATTACATATATATATATATGATATTTGTTCAAGTTTGTCAGAAAAACGCGTTACAGGTCTGAGAATAAAGAAGACCGCAGCTATTTCAATTGGGGCCATTATCCACTATCCAATGTTCTATTGAGATCAGTGGAAGATGAACACGAATTTACCTTCCCTTCGTGTGCACGCGCACACTTCTCTTCGAGATTTTAGTTGTAAACGCTTAATTGAAATTCGCGATACTTATGTGTGCAATCAATTACCAGTGAAACAGTAGGGAGCTACCGATTGACTAAACAAAGAAAACGATTGTGAGAATAATGTGTTTTTGTAAAACATTTTTTATGAATAATAATAAATCCGCAATCTATGCACGTCACATTCCCAATATGTACTATGAATTAGATTTAAATCACGTGATATTCGAATCGTCGAATATTTAACAGTCTTTACCAAAAAAAATTCGTACGAGTAACATTACGAGATCCGAACTGTTTGTATTGATTTCTCCGATCTACAGTAAATATTCGAAACATTCTACAGTGCCAGAACAAGTTAATTTTTATTTGACAGTCAACAGTTTAACGTTAGCGGAATTTATTAACTCGACATTATCTTTCTTTGTTATCTAAATTAGTTTCGTGAAACATGTCGATAAGTATAAACAGTTACGTGTGTGAGACATTATTAGGACAGGGCACTTTCGGGTACGGTTTCTTTCTACTTTTTTCCAACATTCACTCAACTCTGTTCATTTTTAGATCCGTTTATCTAGTAAGGCGAAAGAAAGATTTGAAGCCGTTTGTAGTTAAAAAACAGAATCTCAATAACGCGAATGCCTTACCTTTAAAGGTAAGACATAAGTCGTCAAACTTTCTGCATGCAAGATACTTTCTACTGCTACATTGCATTTCTCTTTAAATAATATCGATACCTTCATTTCAATACGACGTATCTAACAAATTAAAAGTAGACGTAAGAGCATTGAAAATTTCGTTAAAAGTACTGATACGTGGTATTAGAACTGGGATATCGATATGATCTATTATTTACACATATGGGTGGCCAGAGCATATTAGGGGAAGTGCAATGCTTCCGTACATTAAGGCATCCCAACATAGTAGCCTATTATGGAGCTTGGATAGAAGACAATCACAGTTATATCCTCCTGGAATACGCGACGAGATGCACGTTGAAGGATTTGCTAGAGAAGAATGAGATACCGCTCAAGGAAGAGGCAAGTGTTTGGCCTTCGAGCTACTTCCTATATTTTGTCATTTTTAATAACGCTCGTATTAATTTAGGATGCGTTGTACTTGTTCTCTCAAATCGTTCTCGGTGTCCATCACATTCATTTTAAAAAGATTCTCCATCGAGATTTGAAACCGGAGAACATTATGTTGACTGGGAATCACGGTGACATTGTAAAAATCGGAGATTTTGGAGTATCCAAAGATTTTGAAGAGTACGAATTAATTCTTCAAACTCGCCCATCCTTTAAATTAATTTTTATTAAGATATATGGATCGTTATGCAGATTAAAGAACTCGTCGATCGCGAGTTTAGCTGGATCATTTAGTTACATGGCACCGGAAATGTTAAGAGGACGACCGTACGATTTCAAATGCGATATATGGAGCATGGGTGTTATTCTATACGAGATGATCACGAAGAGGCATCCTTTTCCTGTCACTGTAACACATCAATCATATTTCCTGCAACGGTTGTTCATTCGATAAATGATACATGTTTGTTGAAATTTTTAGAATTTGAATGAAATCATGAAGTCTATTTGCGAGGATAAACCGCGGCCTCTTCGCAGAGGAGTCTCGGTGTCTATCGTTAGTCTTATATCAAAGATGCTGAGGAAGCATTCGGCGCATCGTCCCAAAACGGATCAACTAGTCCTCTGTCCTTACTTGGTGCCTTTCATTGCTCGAATTTACTTGAATTTAGGACGAGCAACTAGTATTGCTGATAAAAGCGATGGAAAGTTCGGACCGGAAGTGTTCCTTAAATTTTTAAAACCGCAAGAGAAGCGCAAAATGATTTTAGCATAATTTATATATTCAGTTAGACGATTTTAATTTATGTGTTTACTTAGAAAAGCTTTAAATGAGACATTGTCTCGATTAAAAATGTGATAATAGGCAATGTAATTATTACAGTTGGCCGGTTTGTTGGAATTGCCCGATGAACGGTTATCGAACTCAGCCTCTCTGTACGCACGTACGTACATCGAATCAAAAGCGTAACGGCAGGAAGCGAAGACCGGAACTGCGGAATGCTCGTTTTATTTCATCACGTGCATACCGTTCTTGAAAACCGTTCGGCTCGCGTTTAGTTCGAATAATATCGTCCTTCCGCGTGTATTACCCGTGCAAATCTCGAGGAAACTCCACCTGCAGTTCTTCATCGTGTAAATTTCTTTATAATCTCCTGTCACTACAATAATACCTTATGATATTTTAAAATCTGATTTTTTTATAAATACGCGAACTCGAGAAAAACTATAATGGACCACGCGACAGAGAATTCGTTGAAAAATCTTCAAACGATACCTCGAAACTAAAATAATTTTAACACAAATGTTTTTTAAATTGTACTAATAAAAGATGCTGCCAATTTTGTTAATATATTTTTTCTGTGGATTGTCTTGTGGTACTTCGTGGTATCCCATAAATCCGATCCTCGGGGAGCAAATAGACCTCGTCGGCTCCGCGAATGGAAGTTTCGTTCCAAACTGGACGAGAAGTACGGAGGACGATGATGGAAAGGATATCTTCAGTGTGAATTCAACTCAGATTCCGTTCAATTCTATTGACCGGGATCGGGAACCTCTAGACGATGTGGAACGCATCGAACCGAGGCAGTGGCCGACCAGGCCGGACGTTTTGTACACCCGCGTCGCGATTCCATCTACTACAGAAATGTATCTGCCCCGGAGCCCGTTAAATCCTCCCACATTGGCGCAGAGAAATTCGTCCACGCAGCGGTACCTTTCGAATCTTCATTTAAAGGAATAAATGTCTAGATTTATTGTCCGCAGAGTTGCACACTTTTTAATTGCCGCATTAATAATTGATAATTAAATTTCTCTAAATTTCAATCGACAATTGAAGTATTCCTTAATTAAGAATTTCATAAGCTTTTCGTTTACTTTGAGGTATCCACCAGTGACTGCACCACCGCCTACGGCATCTGTGGAGGAAGTATTCTGCGATTTCGGATCGTTTCCGACGCAAACTCTTTGCGAATGGCAAAACGGCGACGGGGTGTTGGAATGGATGGCTGGTACCGGCATGGGTACAAACTGGATGGGTGGTCCACCCAGTGATTATAGTACTGGCACCATGGAAGGAGGGTAGGAATACTAAATACTAATTATCTTTTATATCGCGAGTAGTTCCGATCTTGATTAACTGTTAACTTGAAAGATACGCCTTCTTGGAAACATCCGAGTTACCGCAGAAGGACGGAAAGGCGAAAAGTCTAGGAGGGTTGTTGCACAGTCCTCAATTAGGAAGCACAGGAGTCGCTGGAACTTGTGTTATGTTCAAATATAATATGGAAGGTTTGAGCATCGCCGGTTTAAGAATTTTACTACATGTGGGTACTGATGAGTACTCGATCAAGAAAGAACAGACTGAGGAGATCACTCCTGAGAACGTGACCGCGGTACCGCCGCCTTGCAAACCGGTGGAAGTCTTTGACGAACGTATCATTTGGAACGCTCAGTATTACACTCTTGGTGTCTGGCAACAAACTCAAATGCTGTACACTTATCCGGAAGTGCATTCGGTAATTTCAATACCTACACACTTTTACTAGATTTTTAATCGAAATTTTCAGCATAAATACAATTTATATAGACTTATAACAGAAAATATCTATTTAATATTGTCCTCAACTGTATTATTTTAGCTGATCATCGAAGGAATTCCCGTGGACTCGACCGATCCGACTCGCTTGTATAGAGGCTACGTAGCTATAGACGATGTCGACTTGCAACCTGGCACTTCGTGCTTAGGCTTCTGTAATTTTGCCGGTGGTTTCTGTGACTGGTCCAACGACGCCGACGATGATTTCGATTGGACCATCGTGAGTCTCTCGAAGTTCCGTTATTTATTCAATTTATGTAAATGATTATGATACTTCTTTTAAATATATCTTCAGAGTCGAGGGAGCGGAAACCCTACGACCGGACCAGCAGCAGACAGCTCGCCGGACCGATCAACAGCTGGAGGATATACCTACATAGATTCTTCTTTCCCACGTCGGCCGGGAGATAGGTGAACATTCTTTATCATTCTCATCAAGTTCCTCCCCTTTGTACAATAAAATCGAGTTAGTTGAATTAGGTGAATAAGTGTATCCTTGATATTTGCCACTGAATTTGGCTGAAGACATCTTATTGACATTGCAGAGCTAGGCTTATTAGTGCTAGCTTCCCAGCACCGAGCGCCGATTCTCCTATGTGCCTTCATTTCTGGTTCCACATGTTCGGCTCCGGGATCGGTACTCTGAAACTCTTCGTGAGGCACTTTCGCAGTTTGGACGCGGCAGTTCAGGAAGTGTGGAGCTTGAATGGTAACGCTGGGAACACGTGGTTCGTCGCTCAAATCACGATCAGTTCTTTAGACGACTTTCAACTCGTGTTTGAAGCGTCCGTCGGAAACACAGGGATGGGGGACATCGCCATCGACGACATCTCCTTCGCGCAAGGCTCTTGTCCAAGTAAGAAGGCGAATTTAATGAAGATCAGTTCTTTCTGTATTGAAATATCTAATTTCTTCTAATAATTGTCTAGTTTTGCCACAAGTGGCTGCGCTTACATCAAGAGATTGTACTTTTGAAGTAGACGAGTGTGACTGGATTAATTCTCGAAACCCGGACCGCGTAGAGTGGGAAAGGGTATCTTTTCAAGCACTGAGTCCTAGAAATCAACGGAAACCGTACACCAACGGGTATACGATCAATAGAAGGAATGAGTACTTCCTAGGTCTCGGTCGTCCCAGAGGAGGACCACGATCAGTGGGTGGTGGAACGGCACAACTTGTTAGCCGTGAGATGAAGGGTAGCGAGGAACCTTTATGCGTCACTTTTTGGTATTTCATGTTTGAATCGTTTATTGATTCCACTGGACCAAGCTTAGGTTCGTTTAATTAATATTCTTTACCATCTTTTCGGTTTAATCCCACAATAATTGACGATATAAATTCGAAGGGGTGCTCCGTGTATCCGTGCAAACGCAGGGAGATTCTTCAACGGAATCCAGACCGATCTGGCAGTTGTACAACAATCAGGGGCCCACGTGGAACTATGCACAGATCAGCCTGAACGAAAGGAGAGACTTCAATGTAGTCTTCGAGGGTACTTGGGGACCTAATCGTGCGAGTGGCAGCATCGGCATCGACGACCTCGCTTTCTACAGTGGCAATTGTTCAGGTAATGTTATTATCTATTTCTCTCAATTTTTATTCGATTTAGATAATTCCAGTTTTTATTCATTACCAATATTGTCTTTTTATATATAGACCCCGGACTTTTATGCACAACCTTCATCTTTTTTGACATATTTTAACGAATGTAATCCATTTGTACAGATTTTTCACTTGTGTAATTTTATAATGTGATGTTTAGTTAAACCGCCTGGTGCGTCTGTCAGGCCTGAGGATTGCAGTTTCGAGAGAGGATTATGCGGCTGGGAGAATATTACTTCTTCCGAGAACGAGCGCACGGTTACTTGGCAGCGAGCGTTTCTCGCTCATCGCCCGGCACAATTGTTAGACAAGACCTTCGGTGCAACCGGCGATTTCGTCTTTTTCGACATATTCACCACGAACAAACAGTCGGCGAACGTGCTACTACGTTCACCGGTGATACAAACATCGCCGGACGAAGAATCGATTTGCTTCACATTTTGGTTCGCCGCTTTCGGTGTCGAAGAGTCTACAACATTGCAAGTAATTAAAATGAACGTTGACGAGGAGTCAGGTAACGATGAGAATGGGAAACAGGACCAACCGGTAAGTTCTCGAATTTCTTTGAAATATTAACTGAATTTAATCTCAAGAAAATTATTCTTTGACAGTTGTGGTCGCTGACAGCAAAAGGATTTAACAACCCCAGGCCAGTATGGACGGCCGCGCAAGTGACGATAGATGCTCGTGTATCTTATCGGTTGATTTTAAGGGGAAGCGCCAGTAACGGAGGTTTTGCTATCGATGATATAAAGTTCCAGCCTCAAACTTGTGGCAGTAAGATCTTTCATAATAAACAAATTATTATATCGATGACATGTATCAATATTTTAAATTATACGCATTGTGTTCACAGTACGACCAATCGATGCATTACCTGTTACCAACAGTGGAAGCTGAGGTATTAGAATTCATAGGCATTATCTCTCATAGAGCCTATTTTTGTTCGATTTTTTTTTACATAAAACTTCTGTAAGTTATTGTAAATAATAAACTTTATTTAAAAACAAGAAAACGATTTATTTGCATAGAGATTCGTTCAAAGTCTGCTGTTTCCTCAAGAATTGTCTCTTAATTTCAAATGTAACTATGCCAAGTGCCACTCCTGCATTTAAGCTATCAACACCTTTAGCTAAAGGTATATTGATACGAATACCTTTCCTTTCATTCAAGAATCTACAGGAATCGAAATTTAATCCCTCGGTCTCTCCGCTTAGAATGATGACAGACTCTTTTCGCGTGTAGTCCATAGCATAATACGGCATAACAGGCAGTTTCAGTAAAAATTGTTTCATCATTCTCTTATTCGTTATCGACAATTCCTCTGTTCGCTCACCGAACGTAAGCTTCGATATCAGCTCCGCCGGATCTACGTCGAATATATTCAAACTCGACTCGATTAGCTCTGGCGAGTATTGCGGCATGTATTCGTCACCGAAATTGCTATCTGCTACGAAAATGTTCGAATCGTCGCTGATCAACGATGGAATCTCGTCCCACGTTGGAAAGCTGTGAATAGGTAGTCGGAAGTGTGTGCCAGCCGCGCTTCTAAGAACTTTTGGATCCCATAAATCTACGCATCCTAAAGAAGATATTACATTTTTAAAATTCTCTGCTGTATAGTGAAGTCCATAGATCGCAGTTTTTTTGTACAAAATGAGGCATTCGTGGTATCATATTTTAAAAAATCTTTTTATCGAGCGAACACTGCTAATAGGCACTCATTTATAAACTTCGGTGTATAATATTTATTTAATAGACTATTGTACCTTTCATCACTATCAATTTTTCACAACCTACACCTGCTACAGCTCTCATGATGGAACCCAAATTTCCTGGTTCTCTGATATTATCACATATAACGGTAAGTGGTATCGCATCATTGTTGTCGTGTGCAGCATTGTTTTGTAGATCAGGAGTATTAAAGATTCCTTAAAGGTAAATACAGATTTCAAAGTTGATATAAAGATTACATTCTTCTACACTAAACAGTTATACACAGAGCATCGGTACCTAATAATCCAGGTGCCGTAGTTAGACTAGACCATAATTGAATTGTTTTATAAGGAACCTTATACAAAGTAACTTCCTCTGGCAAGTTTAACTCTTCCAGATCAGTCGAGTCATTAAAAAGTATCAACTTCGGTACTAAACCAACTTTCATTGCATCTTTGATCAACCTATGCCCTTCCAAGACTATTTCTTTGTCTTTTTCCCGTCTCTTTCGAGATTTAAGATTTGTCATTATAGACCTACGGGATATAGAAATAATACTTTTCTAACGTATCCATGTATTAGGTAGCAAACGGGAAAGATACTCACGTTACGATTTTATCATTTTCCTTGAGTTTCGTGAACTGGCGCTTTTTCATCGCATTCTCGGTCTCTTCGGGTTCCTTCTGCTTAGCTTGCCTCGATTTCCTACCTCTTCTTCTGGAAGAAACAATCTTCTCCCTCGGTACTTCTTTCTCTACCGTGGTGTCTTCGCATTCAAACAGTTCGTCCTCGTTCAGAATTTTAACCGGCCTCCGGCTAACCCATTTCGCGTACGTTCGAATCAACGTGAACTTTATGTTCGGGTTCGCCTGATACGTCTTTACTAACGGCCGAACGTTGTGCAAAATATTCCCGAATACCATCGTTAAAAGTAATGTATATTTCTCGCTAACACTGCTTCCTCAACGTTTGTTAACACGATGTAACAGTCTTTTTAATAATGAGAACTGATCATTGTTGCACTATTTACGTTGATAATAATGCACAGCGTGCATCTTCTGTTTAAACTTTTATTGTATTTTAAATAACAATCAGCAGAATGTGGTGCGGTTCGGTGAAAAACATGGGAATTCAGAAATCTTCTAACGATACCACGATAACTGAGTGAATGCATATACGTCGATATACGTACGTATTAGTGCTCGCAGTGCTATGTGCATGGCTACGTGGAGCTAGTTGCTACCCCACAAGAATTGATGCCAGTGGCCAGAGCTCAGTAGCTCACCAAAGCTCGAGTCTTATTGGATAAACGTAACATGTGCTAGTGTTTGATCACTCGAAATCGTTGATCGAGGATTTGTATGCATACTGTGATCGGGTTGGTCGGGTTTCCTGAACGTATATACGCGCGTATACCTCTGCAGTATGCGTATAATTCTTATTTTCCTATAATAATTTCTAAGCGTACGTATGCAGCAGTTAACGCACAAATAGATATATGTATGTAAAGTGCGTACAAGTATGTATTAAATACTTTTAATTAATGTCGAAGTAATGGAGGAAAGATGGAAGCCTTGACGTTTGGCTCGCACAGGTAAACCGTGTAAATATGCGAATAATTTTCTTCAGAGTTAATGTCATGTATCAGAACACTGTTTCCTCTTTTGTAGGCTAGTTCACTTAGATCTCAAGGGTGCTCCTCCACGAGTCTGCTATTTCGAGAAGGTCTGTTCAACGTTATAAACAAATACTTTAGACACGGAGTCTTCTGTATGGGAGAAGCAATAACGAACGACGATTTCAAAACATTCTCTATCGCTCTGTTCTCTTATTATTCAATCAATCATTTCACGGGAATTTCCAGTTTTATGGTCTTGGTTGTATCATGCACATAGTTTCCGCTATTTATAGTGTGCTGACATTACTTTTATCTATTTCTTTCATATTAGAGATATTGTATTATTGTGGGAATAGGTGACAGAATAATTAGCACTGGTGATTTCACAAGAAGATTTATTCAGATCAATTGCGTGCGTCCGTACGCTCGAGAGACTTTCGCTCGAATGCCTTTGTCCCGTTGAACAGAGTCTGTTCAACAGACGTCCAACGGCTCTCCCTTATCTCTTCTCAGAAGAATCGCTTTCCTAAAGAAGAGCGCGTATAAACATTTCCTAAAAATGGCCCGTCACTAGGCCAGTCCGCCACATTATAATTGAATTCAGACTTATAGATTTTTTAATAGCCGCATTAAAAATTAACGATTTTTCTCTAAATCTCAATCATTAATTGCGGATTCGTTCCAATTAAATGAATAAAAATATATTTCTTCAAATAATTATAATTCTTAATTAGCCAAATAAAGATTTAATTGCTTATCTGCAACTCTGGTCGAATGACTATGATTGACTAAATGTAATTCTTGCAGTTATTTCCGCTTTTGAGAACATGGGGTGCCACCGGGTTACTTCTGGAATGGGAAGATTCATTTCCATACAACCGAGAACTTTCTCAAATAGGGAGCAATGGACTGAGCACTTTAACCAGCGGATACACAGTCCAGGAGGCTAGGCACATCTTACAAATCGCAGGAGACTGTGGCCTGGCAGTCATTCCATTAGTACAAACGTTTGGCCATTTGGAGGTATGCGAACACAGTTAACAATAGGTGCATTCAAAGGAACCAAGAGTCGCCTAAACGCAGCTAATAACATTTACAATGTGATACATGATTTATAAAAAAGAGCTAATGATTTCAGTTTGTATTGAAACATGACGAATGGAGATCTTTGAGAGAAGTGGAGCATTTTCCAAGTTCGATTTGTCCGTCGAATCAGAGGACCTTGCCTTTGGTGAAGTCCCTGATCGGGCAAATAGTCAGTTTTCATCCAGATATCCAGTACCTGCACATAGGCGCGGATGAAGTTTGGCATTTAGGCCTTTGCACGGCCTGCATGAAACGTGCAGCCTCTAGCAAATACGGGAAATCAACGCTGTACCTGGAACACGTTTTGGCTATCGCGCAACACATACAAGAAACATATCCCTATTTAAAAATTATCATATGGGACGACATGTTGAGATCGATGGACCTGCGCACTTTGAATGGTATCTTGATGATTTAGTCGCTTGAGTCAAATAATGTCGCGCATTGCTTCATAAAAGTGTTTTTCAGATCATTACATCGGGAAGTACGTGGAACCTATGATCTGGCACTACAGCCCCAGAGATAACTTTGATCTACCTCATGGTAAGATTTCTATTTCTCCTACGTACGTTGACATATCGTGAAACTACATAGAATTACTCTATTAGGACTCTGGGACAAGTACACCGCAGTATTCCCACATATTTGGGCTGCTACCGCGTTCAAAGGAGCCACCGGATCGTCTCAGCACGTTCCGATTGTCAGGCATCATGTGAGCAATCATGAGAAATGGCTAGAAGAATTAAGCATGCACGTGAACAAAGTTCACGAGTTTCGGGGAACAGCCTTCACTGGATGGTCAAGGTAATTTTCTTAACGGAAGAGGAAAATTGGACACAGAATGCGATTTATGACAAACTATCATCGATGCTTTTCGCCTTCTGATTTTAGATACGATCATTTTGCAACCATGTGCGAACTGTTGCCTACAGCGATACCGTCTTTGGCACTGTGTCTGAAAGTATGGCTGCACGGTTATTCCGAACAGATTCACAATCAGGTGGCTAAAAGTTTAGGGTACAGAGATCATCCTCTTCATTTAACGCCGCAACCCAGACCCGCGCCGATACCGAGCAATCTACTCTTTCCCGGTTGGCAGGTCGCAGTGGGCGTAGAATGGTTCTTAAATTTCCGAGCTAAATTTCATGACATCGTCACCAGCGAACAGTACGTATAAAATACGAATAAATATCTCAATTTCTGTCCAGGTCGCAATTTTTACTGATTGGCGTATTTTTTTTTATGCTCTTAAGATAAAATATTTATTAATTTTTTAGAATATCTACGTGGATGAATCCATGGCAGGTGGCGAACAATTACACGAACCCTATGCAATTAGAGAACTTAGTACCTGCTTTTACTGAGTAAGTTCCCGGATTCTAACAAACCTAATGTTTAACGAAGAGAGTCGTATAACATGAGAAACATTGATTACAGATTACTATTAGAATTGTCTTCTCTAGAAGGATATTTAAGATTCCAAATGGAAAGTATTTTTTTCCCGTCGATGATCGACGAATGGATAGGTACAAATATTCAGCCGATGAAAGGGAAGCTCGTGGAGTTAAAGCAGACGACCGAGAATCAAATCAAGCTGAATAGTCGAATCTAGCGTTTTAATTGAACTATTTATTTTACGCAGAATTTCTGCTTTAGATCTCAATGACCAACTCGGATACAGTGCGAAACGTATAGGCTGATGAACAAAGTACGAAGATATTTAGTAAATCTGTACAATTTTATCTTATATAATTAGGTGTAGAGAGATAGATTTTAATGCGAAAAAGAGGTGATACGTACCACACGCGCAAACCGCGCGAAAAATATAGTTTTATAAGAGAAGGAACGATTGTCTTACTATACTTGGCTTAGGGACGAACAGAAACTTGTGACAATTTACTTTGTCACCGAGCTTTGCCATTTCGCGAGTTGTTCTGTGATATGTACTTGGCTATGAGAGGATTATTGTAACCGAGCTCAATAACCACATTTTTTGGATATTGTGCTTTACGATATATGTATGTATGCTTCTAACTATCTGCGTTTCTTATACTACTCTTGACGAAAGGTTTCCGATCACGTACACTAATTAGATTGCGGATCTTTATGCAAATTCTTATTTATAGAAGTAAGATCGAAAACACACATTTGTTTTATTTGATTTACAGTTTACTTCGGATATTTTGTATTTCTTTACAGATGACTACACACTGTACTCTAAATTTCCATAAATGCATAAACATCCGCAATCTAACAATAATATTACTCCCGATCAATTAATGAAACATTTCATCAAAAATCTAGGGATGTCTCATATACTTTAGTGTTCTTAACAAAAATCAATTAATGAACTTGTTCGAGTACAAAATGCATTGAATGCTAATTACTTTATACAGTGACTCCTATTAATATTCATACCCATTTCAAAACTGAATAATTTTTGTAATAATGATCACAAACAACTTGGCTATGAAAAGAATATCTGTTACTTTTTTATTCAAGATTTCGATGTAATTCTTTTAAATTTTATGGGACATATAATAAACTAAGTCTTTTAACATCCCAAAGAATAATAAGTTGTTTGGACCAATATTAAAAAAGTATTCAGCTTTGAAATGGGTACGAATATTAATAGTAGTGACTGTATGTTACGTATTACTTTTACTCGAGCATCAACAATTCTCGCATTTGACGTCTGAATTATGTAAATACTGACGTAAGATATGTATCATAGTCAATTAAGATTAGACCTGTGCTTCACCTTCTTTAAAATATAATTGATCTAGTGGTATGCAGATGATCGAAAACGTTTCAGTCACGGATAGTATCAATAATACGTTCAAATATTTTTTGTACTCCCTTTTAGAATCGTCGCGTCGACGAATTTTCGATTAACTATTTACCAGCTGTGAAAGAATTTTACGCAATATCTAGAATGTATAATATATATATATATATATTTAAATATATTTCACGGCGTCTCTATTTTATCATTAATGTTCTGAAACTAGACTAAATGTAGTCGTTTTCGAAGCATGTTCATCGGTGTAACTTATTATTATTAGACTGCGGATTTTATCCATTCACAAAAAATTAAGTATGTAAAAAAACGTAAGAAATACATATAATGGGCAAGTGCATAAAGTATCGACAGTAAAAACTATAGCATGATATTTAAAGGATTCGAAAGGACGTTCTTAATTATCATTTCTGTCATATACTCAACAACTTTTATTTTAAAAATTCGCAGTCTAATTATTATGTATGAGGCATAGCTGACAGATAGAATAACTGTAGGCAAAAAGGCATAAGTAATTAATACCACACAAACTCGAATAACGATTCCTCTGTATGTAATAACTCCGCAAACTTAAGATTTTGTTTTGTACGACTCGAGTTATCTTTTAATATAATCTCTGTTATGAAGCAGAAAAATGTGTTTCATTCATACATTGACCATCCGCATTGTTGTGTAATTGATTAAAACAAAAACGGGTAGCTGTTTGAAAAATTTGTCAGAAAATGACCTCCCCACGATTTATTTGAAATGCGAATGAAATAAGAACGTGGGGGGTGTAATATGCAAAAAATTGGGGAGTACGGTAACGAAGAGGAAGCCACGAAATTGGACGAATGTTTCAAGGAGACTTTAACTCGCGCCAGACCTCACGTTCTCGCGTTAACGACCACCGAATCCGCCCAATTGTGCAAAGTCTGGTTAAATAAATTAAACGCCACTACTGCGCAACGTCGCCTAAGGAACGAATACCTCATAGAATTATGCAGACAACTGAAGACGGGTCAAATTGGTGGAATTTTTAGCAGGCCACCTCCCAATGGACTCCTTCTACCATTACCTAAGTCCTGCCATACGGTACTTTCCATCTTATAATTGAACGGATATAGTAAACATCCCAATTTCTATTCACCTTACGATTTCTACTTACTGGCTTAAGAAAAAGAAGACAGTGGGTAGAAATTGCGATGGGAACAGAAATTGGGACATTTACTATATTACACGATCAACGATATTGTTAAAAAGCTATTGATTATTAACGCAGATCTCTATTAGCTCGTCGATGAGCGACATGTCAGATCATCCGACGAGACTCTATCACACTTGCCACAAGGCAAGCGCGAGATACCTTCATAATCATCAACGTAGCAGATCCTACCTGAGACACCGTTCATCCGACATCGCGAGTGCGAGACACGGTTTCAGACTATCACCAACTCATCGTACTCACGATCACAGTACAGCGAAAGAAACATGATTAATAAGAGCAATAGTGATCGAGACTCGATACATTGAATAAATATCTATTGCTGTAGAACTGCAGGTTCAAACCAAATATCTGAGGGATCAATTGTCAGAATGTCATAGAAATCATCTTCAGGTGATCAACAGAGAAATGGATGATCATCTGGTCTCTAGCATTAGCCGATTGAGCACCGAGGTGTCCGTTTTAAAAGCTAAGTCAGTACGTTATTGAACGTAATCTGAAGAAAGCTAAGGATTATCAAAATGATTTGCAAATTGTTAAAGACTGACGGAGGTGCAAAAGTTGAAGAATTCTATGGAAGATGGTTACAAGGAGGCTGTTGAAGATTATCACTTCTCCGTGGTAGAACAGCTTACTGAATTGAAGGATAAATTAGATAAAACTTATTTGAAGAACGAAGCGTTGGACAATAAGGTTGCGACGATATCAAAAGAATTGGAGGACATTGCGCATGGTAAGGTACGGTAAAGAAAGCGGAGACGGAAATATTTGCAAAACGTGAATTATTCAATTATTTTTTAAGGATGAGGAGAGCAAAGCATTGAAAGAGAAATGTATGGATAAAATAAACGCTGCGTGCGAGCGAATCGATTCGTTTATGAAAGAAAAGAACCGAGAATTGCAATTAAAACAGGACTGGCTCGAAAAGAAAGATATGGAATCTTCGCAAAGGGTAGCAGGAATTAAAACTGAAGTCGAATTGTTGACTAACAAAGTACACGACCTGGAAACTAAACTGGAAATCAAGATTAAAGACGTACTTGTTTAAATAAATGTATTTTAAAATCTAGCCGCATTTAATCCTGAAAACGTTTATCGTAGTACTGGGATACTCATCCGGATTTTTCTCAGTTTATCGTCCTATTTACGAGATTAAACTCAGATCCAGCATTTCAGATTCAGATCAATTAAAGAAAAAATTAGATTAGTACATTATTAAAAGAGAAAATATATTTCTTAGGAAAATAAATTGCAAACGATGATAGTCGAGCAATACGCAACGATGAAGGAAGAAATAAATAAAATGAGGAGTGAGATTGATGAGACCCAAAAACAAAATCAAAATTTACTGGCCCAAGTCTCTGCCTTGAGAAGAAGCATTGCGAAACTCGAAAAATCGAAAGAGAAACTTGAGTACAATTACGAAAAGAAATTAACGCATGCAATCAAGGTAGACCATAACGACCTACTATTTTCAACACGTTAAGCGCCAAGCCTGTTCTGTTTTCCTTCCTGTTTAGTTAATTGTTTTATTATCCAAAGCGCAATAACAGTATTGAATAGAATTTTTTTTAATAACAGACGTATTATTTAAGTATATTATTTTATGGTCTTCAAATTATTTAAAATTTATTAATAGAAGTTTTTTAATTAAGACCCTACTTTTGCACGGTATTTTTTGACGTTGAATTTAAGGATGTATTGGCTATACAGTCAATCCCAAAAGTTTATGCACTATAGAAACGCATTTTTTAAAAAGAAATGATACGTCGGAAGAACAATACTAATAATAAACAAAAAAAAATGTTTCCGAGATTTTTCCAAGGGGTACAAGTATCCCTTCAGATTTGGCAAAATTTTCGTTTTTGGCCAATAACTTCCAAGCCGATGGACATACGGAAAAATTGCATCAGACAAGACGAGATCAACAATTTCTATACAAAAACTTTTCGCTAGCGTCAATAGTTAACGAGTCACTTGCAAAAAACTGTTTTTTCGTTTTTCGTTAATAACTCGTGAACTATTAATGCTAGCGAAAAATTTTTACATGGAGATTGCTGATCTTGTCGTCAGCTACAAGAAAGGTCATATGCAATTTTTCCGTATATCCAACGGTTTGGGAGTTATTGGCGAAAAACGAAATTTTTTTCCAAAAGTTCGCCATTTCGACGCTGGGATAGTCGGATTTTGTCAACATCAATAAAATGCCAAATAATCATACGTAACTCGTTAAATATCGAAGTTAGAAGGAAAACAACTTCTATTTGAAGCATTTTTCGCAATTTTGAAAAAAAAAAATTTTCGTCAGCGTCAATACTTAATTGGTTATTTCCTTCTATAGTTTTTAGGACGTACCTATTTATTATTAGCATTATTCTTCCGACGTCTGATTTCTCTTTAATTATAGGAAATGCTTTTTTATAAGGTACATAAACTTTTGGGATTGACTGTATAGCCAATACATCCTTAAGTGCTTCCATTAACACGATTGATTCCGTTCCATTACTTCTTTTTTTGTACGAGTGCTACTACCAGAATAATATCGTTTAGCATAGCCTTGTTCGATTTCGCTGATACAAGCGTTACCAGAGAAATGAGTGCTACTACTTTTAAAGCTATTTTTATAAATTCCACAAGTTTAATTATGGACTATGCACTGTAGAACAAAGACGTGGAGATAAGAACGTTGCAATTGCGGTTGAAGGAACAGGAAAACGAATTATGCACATCTCTTAGCACGAAAAAGCAAAACGAGGTGGATAATATCGCTTCCACATTAGAGAAACGATATAAGATGCTGTTAGCACAAACGGAGGCGATGTCGGAAAGCCAGACACAAGAATATCTTAGGGTATAACATTCGTGATTTTTACTAAGCTCGATGGCAAAATAACGTCGTTCGTTTTATTATAAGTACTATAAGAATTTAACAGAATAAGACAGTGGCTCGATGAGCATTACTTAAAAACAAACATTATTCTTACGATTGTACCGTGTAAGTTGACGTTATTTTCCTATCAATTTAATAAATATGAATGTTAATCATAACATGTATAATATTAATCATTAAAACTTGTAGAAGATAGCTAATTTAGAAGATCAAGTTCTCAACATGAAGAGGCTTTAACCCGAATCTTATAGGTTTAGTAGTTTTTAGTAAGTGTTAACTATTGTGCATACATGTACATTGTATTTTCGCTAAATAAATGGCAAAAGAGTGTCATAGATCTGACATCGAATGTATTTCTCTGTCCCCGATTTCTGGCACTACATTTTTAATTCCAGTAGTACTTTCATATACAAAGATGCACACACGCATTCTAGAGAAATCTAATTGTCAATATGATTAATAATAAATTTAAACGATAATTCCTAATCAGACTATTAAACCGTAATATATTAGTTCTCCTTTTATTGGTACCATTTTTGAAGTCCAACGAACCGATGCCTCCGCAGTTTGAATATAAACAGTATTGATATTTTCTGCTTATTCCATTGCTGCATACTACCTCTATTAGTATTGTTCTCATAATTACATAAATACAGTAATATGTACAATTATTTTTCTTAATACGAATGAATTTAAATAAATTATACTTAAAAAAATTTATATCACTTATTATCGATACACGGTGGTTTTTGTCCCACGAAATTAATATTCGAAATGGAAGTCGAAGTAAGATTGATCAAACGTATTGATACGAATGTAACCGTCTTCCCCACCTGTCGACAAGCTGCGGCCATTAGGATGAAATGCAAGGGAGTTAATCGGACCGAAGTGCCCTTTCAAACGCGCAAATTCTTCTTCGAACACCATGTGGAAAAATCGCGAGTCAAATTTTCCTTGTCTAGTGGACGTTGTCGTGACATCCATGGCATCTTGACCTCCTCCAAGAACCACCTACGAAACAAATCCACCATTTATGTCTTTGCTCATTTACAATTTCAATCTGTCGCATAGTCGTGGGCACGTACGTGATCGAAAATAGGAGAAATCGTAGCGGAATTCACAGGCCTCTCCGTTTTGTACGTTTTCAACAACATTAACGATTCACTGTCGAATAATTTGGCAGTGTTGTCTTTCGACGCTGTCACGAACATGGTGCCGTCCTTGTTGAATTGCATATCGTTTATTTGTGATTTGTGACATTTGACGCTCTGCAATTTCTTCGCCGTCTGCAAAACGAAATCATGTTACGAGGAACTCATGGTACTTCGCGTTTAAACATCGTCACATACTCTGACATCCCAAATGGTAATTTCACCATCCTCGTGACCAGTAATTATGGTTTCGTCCAAAGCGCCCCATAAGATTGCCGAGATTCTAGGGCCATTAACGACAATTCTAGAAATTGCATCTTCTTGCGATAATACTGCATCCACGTTTCTAATGTCCATGATAAACATTTCACACTGGTGTCCTAAGGCTTTGTCTGTTGAATAAACTGCCAGGTTCGCTGAGTAACTAAAGCTACATGTCCTTACAGAACTATTTGTATGGAGTAAACCTATTTCTTTTCCTACGAAATGATAAATATGAAATAAGACATAGAACAAGATCGAAATATATGTTCATCTGGTAAAGATATGAACCTGTTTGACAATCCCAAACCCTCAAAGAATTGTCACCACTTCCTGACAAAAATCTCGTAGTATCCCAATTAACATCTATGCACCATACTGAACCATTGTGCCCATTAAAACTTCCAAGACGTTCTCCATTTAAAGAATACCAAACGTTTGGCCTTTTGTCTTTACTAGAAGAGAACAATAAGTCACCCTCTCTATTGTATTTTATTTGCGTTATGGCACGTTCGTGCCCATGTAACATCAAGGGTTTCTGCACTCTATTAGTATTGTTCTCATAATTACATAAATACAGTAATATGTACAATTATTTTTCTTAATACGAATGAATTTAAATAAATTATACTTAAAAAAATTTATATCACTTATTATCGATACACGGTGGTTTTTGTCCCACGAAATTAATATTCGAAATGGAAGTCGAAGTAAGATTGATCAAACGTATTGATACGAATGTAACCGTCTTCCCCACCTGTCGACAAGCTGCGGCCATTAGGATGAAATGCAAGGGAGTTAATCGGACCGAAGTGCCCTTTCAAACGCGCAAATTCTTCTTCGAACACCATGTGGAAAAATCGCGAGTCAAATTTTCCTTGTCTAGTGGACGTTGTCGTGACATCCATGGCATCTTGACCTCCTCCAAGAACCACCTACGAAACAAATCCACCATTTATGTCTTTGCTCATTTACAATTTCAATCTGTCGCATAGTCGTGGGCACGTACGTGATCGAAAATAGGAGAAATCGTAGCGGAATTCACAGGCCTCTCCGTTTTGTACGTTTTCAACAACATTAACGATTCACTGTCGAATAATTTGGCAGTGTTGTCTTTCGACGCTGTCACGAACATGGTGCCGTCCTTGTTGAATTGCATATCGTTTATTTGTGATTTGTGACATTTGACGCTCTGCAATTTCTTCGCCGTCTGCAAAACGAAATCATGTTACGAGGAACTCATGGTACTTCGCGTTTAAACATCGTCACATACTCTGACATCCCAAATGGTAATTTCACCATCCTCGTGACCAGTAATTATGGTTTCGTCCAAAGCGCCCCATAAGATTGCCGAGATTCTAGGGCCATTAACGACAATTCTAGAAATTGCATCTTCTTGCGATAATACTGCATCCACGTTTCTAATGTCCATGATAAACATTTCACACTGGTGTCCTAAGGCTTTGTCTGTTGAATAAACTGCCAGGTTCGCTGAGTAACTAAAGCTACATGTCCTTACAGAACTATTTGTATGGAGTAAACCTATTTCTTTTCCTACGAAATGATAAATATGAAATAAGACATAGAACAAGATCGAAATATATGTTCATCTGGTAAAGATATGAACCTGTTTGACAATCCCAAACCCTCAAAGAATTGTCACCACTTCCTGACAAAAATCTCGTAGTATCCCAATTAACATCTATGCACCATACTGAACCATTGTGCCCATTAAAACTTCCAAGACGTTCTCCATTTAAAGAATACCAAACGTTTGGCCTTTTGTCTTTACTAGAAGAGAACAATAAGTCACCCTCTCTATTGTATTTTATTTGCGTTATGGCACGTTCGTGCCCATGTAACATCAAGGGTTTCTGCAATAAAACAATAAATTTTCATTATTTACTAAGGATCCATTTGTTCCTCCGTGAAGAATGTTTACACTAGGTTATAGTATCGCGTGTTCAAATATATTACGAGAAACAAGCCTTTATGTAAATAACAAACGCTACGTAAAATCTGTGATATGCATAAAGCGACTAACCATTTTCCTTTACAATAAATAGTTTGATGAAGTAATCAATCAATTAGATGCAGACCACTGACCCCACTGACCAAGGAGGGACGGACGAGAGGTATGCTAGAGCGTGGGGCAGGGGTCTCAGAATTTATCCCTCGGCCGGAAAGTGGGGACGACGCGACCATGGTGGGGACTGGTACTTACTTAATTGATACGTTCGCTTCGCGAAGGCGCATGAGGAGAATAGTAGTGGGGATCGAAATACGGGCGAAAAAGAGGGGAAGCGAGCCGTGCGAGATAAATTTTGAGACCCCTGGCGTGTTCTTCTCCCCCCTCTGTCCTCCTCCACAGTATTTGCTCCCACTTCTTAAAAAATTAAGGTCGTGGACTGTAACTCAGTACAGGCATTACAATAAAACGTATTTTTAGTTATACAAAAACTGTTTTTATTGAGATGACATATGAAATGTAACACGAATCAAGTAATAGATCTTAAGTGAAACGCAATACCGCATACAGATGTATATTCAACATCTAAATTACGATTTTTAACGAATCTCGTATACATAAAAAAACTATTGAACAATTCCTTTTTTTTGACACAAGTTGCGAGTTCATACTCATATTTACTTCTTCTCTGTTTAATGAAACATGTACTTACATTACATATAGATATACAGATTCTTACATATATACATTCATAATCCACGTGTGGATTTCGTAGTTCACCGCAATACTTGAGAATGTCGTACATTTACACGATTTGATTGTAATTCGAAACATTGAGTTATACAATCGTTTCAATGGGTTAAGGGACGGACTAACACAGCTTGACCAACAAATTCCATGCTACAACGTATCTAATGCATTAAACTTTTTATTCAAATCTTGTTGGAACGTAATCGAACCGCGAATGTTAATATATGATAGTCATTGAGAGATAAATAATACTGATACACTCAATGAATGTGTCTACTTGTTTTGGTCAAGTGTAGAAATATGTAAGTATACATTCCAATCATTACGGGTTTTCCATTTATATCGAACATCATTAATTCTTACCCTTATATCAGAGCAGTGAACAATCTTTTTAGGGTCTAACACTTAAGAAAACGAGCATCATCTCTCTGCAACGTCCATCTCTGTTAAACACAATTACGTTAAAAGGTTTTACTTCATTCACTGCCTTGAAAGCAGTGGGGTACAGTTTGGGCCCTGCCACCTGCCACTTTGAATGCAAGTGCCGTTGTTATTATCAGAACCACATAAGCTGATAAGGTGGTGGCTATGTAAGCTTGATACACGTTCAACAGTGTCATACATGACACAAACAAGTGTGAAGCAACCACCCAAGTAACTTGTCCCCAATTCTTTCTATCCAGGGCAGCAAAAAATACGACACTCCAAAATGTATGCAGCAAGACAAAGCAAAGTGTCGTCGCTGCTGATATTACAAAGAAGTACTCCGAGCCTTGTTTAAGTCCCATAGTTCCAGGTCCAACTGCATCAGCCAAGACATTGACTAGAGCGAAGGCACCGCTCATAAAACCAAAGCCTAAACCACATACATATGCAAACACATGTCTGCTATCTGCCACATGTGTCGTTGTCACTTTGTCTAACCCTCTCTCTGCTTTCCTCAGAACCCAATACAGCAGATACCTAAATAGGGCAGAATAGTTAAACATGTAAAAAAACAGTCCAAATTTCACGGAGAAGTAAAATTCGACGTGTCTATCAATTACCTAAATGCTTCTTGAAATAATACGGAGAAAACGAGTCCGAAAGCGAGGTGGTTTTGCAGTGGAACGACGGCATACCAAAGCACCGATGATAATAACAGAGAAATGAGCCAAAAGAAGGCACTGGCTACTAGCATAATAATTCGAATAGGCTCAACTGCAATGGTAAAAGTAAACATAGCCAACGGTGGGCCAAAAGCCAAAAAGGCACAACCGAAAAAATCCATAACTGTCATTTTTGCCGCGATAATGCCAAATCACTTTATGTTTCGGTATCGCCAGAGAAGAAGGGGGAGATTGCTCATCTCTTTGTTCGAAAGTGGACCTATTTCGACCCTCAGGGTAGTGACATTCATACTGACTAGTAATCATTTGATCATACCTACACTATATAATATTACATTTTACAATTGTAAAATTGTAAATATAAATATTATGACATAACCCTCACCCACAACAAATATGGCAGAGTCAAGCATGAGTCAAGCTTCTGCATGGACCTGAAGGACGGTGCATATGCGGTGCATGAAGCAGTGAACTTATGGGCGAGCGGGTGGACTTCCAAAAACGGAAGGGGAAAACAACTCTACCTCATTGAGGGCAGCACTTGTGGGCCTGTTTTTCAGGGACTGGAAATGATAGGAAATGCCTAAGACGATTTTAAAAATAAGTAACGACCATGAATACTGGTCTGTATAACCAGTAGCCTTTGCGGCCTTTGCTCTCCTACGTCTCATATTGGAAATAAAATACAATTTACATGATTTGTTCAAGCTGTCGCTGTTTCTGGAATTGCCCTCTTAACGCAGCACTGGTACGGAAATTACGAAATCCTGAACATGTCCACCCTCATTTCTTCTTCGTTCCTAGTTTCTAATTTCTACTCACCTCTCTGACTCTGACGTTACACTCGGCGTTGTGTTACATTGTTTATTTGTTTCTTATGTGTATACGAGTGTAAAACAATTTGCAATTTAATATATAATTAGCAATGCCAAAAGTACGCAGAAGTAAAAAACCTCCACCAGACGGCTGGGAGTTAATCGAGCCAACGCTGGAGGAACTGGAACAGAAAATGCGAGAAGGTAGTAGAAAATAGGGGTGGCTACGTTAGTAATGATGCATGGATAATTTTAATTGTTTTTCATTTCGGTCGCAGCTGAAACGGAACCACACGAAGGCAAACGGAAACAGGAATCCTTGTGGCCGATATTTAAAATTCATCATCAAAAATCCCGTTACATATATGATTTATATTATAGGCGGAAAGCCATAAGTCGTGGTAAGCAAAGAATCCTCTACTTTCTTTTTCCTATTCATTAATTTTACCCTCATTCATTATTTTATTTGTTTTTTAGAATTGTACGATTACTGTTTGAATGAAAATATAGCTGACAAGAACCTGATAGCAAAGTGGAAAAAAGTCGGATATGAAAATCTATGCTGTTTACGTTGTATACAGACGAGGGACACCAATTTCGGTACAAACTGCATTTGTAGGGTACCTAAAGGCAAACTGGAAGAAGGTAGAATAGTAGAATGCATCCATTGTGGATGTAGAGGCTGTTCCGGATAACATTTATTTAGCATTGGCGACATAATGCATATCCTATTCTTCTATTATTGTACTGTTTTACTAAAAATAATTCTATATGAAAGTATATTAAATGTCAAACACACACATAATTTCATTACACAAATTCCAGAACGATATTGTCTTTCCATTATACAATCATCGATTTGTTAATTCAACTAATTGTGTGGATAACTACAGTGTGTGTGTCTATTATGTATATATATATACAGATAAATAAATTCATTACTTTGAAAAAATATGTTTTAAATCTCAGCTATTTCCATTGAAATTAAAAAGAGATTATGATTATTGTTTTTTACACGTATGTATATTTATTTAGCATTTAGCTTCATTATGTAAATTCTTGGTAAAATTCGGTAAAGACTGTTTGACTTTCTTTATGGACAAACGTCTGGGTACATTGGTTATTTAATATAATGTATCTTTTCCCTTTTCTCCAAATGGCGATTGGTGTGTCCGGACGATCGGTCTTTTTGATATCTCGAGGCCTGTTGGTTCTCGCGGATAGAATCGAAACCAAAGAACGACGTTTCGATGCAGCGAGATCTCGTCGGGACGTCTGCGTGGCGATGCCTATGATTTGCCAAGAGTACTTGACGCTGCAATTATGAACCGTCTCGTCCTCGAGGGGTTCATTCTCTTTTATCAAGCTTTCCAAGAGTGTTCGCGAGGTCTGCGCGCTTGTACCGAGCACTTGCCACGAGTACTTTACTCTCACAGGGTAGTAGTCAGTTTTACTGTCTTGGTATCGCGACTGATTCATTTTGAGGAAGGACAGTATCGAATAGTCAGCTTTATCGCGATGTTGAAAACTGTGGGCCGGGAAAATCATGCCGTTTAAATCTCGATACGTGTCCGTGTCGCTCGTTTCTAAAAAGTTATCCGCTGTTAACAAATCGAACGCGGTACACCGGACTTGGCTAAACGCATTCGATGCGATTTTTCTGACCGGGAATTTTATTTCATCTCCGTAATTAATAATGGTAGTTGAAATCGCTGTCTTCGGAGTCCCTTCGACTTTCTGCTTTAAACCAGTGAATGGGATAAAGGAATTTTGTCTCTCGATATTGGCTTTCTTCGGTTTCGGCCCTGCTACGGTCGACGGGGTCGTTGCCATTGTACTCAACGTTGTCGGAATGTTCGAAGCGTTGCTCGATACCATCGAGGCACTTGAAATATCTTTAACATTTCGTCGAAAATTTTCACGTAATCGATATATAACGCTATCCTCTTTGCGTAATTTGGGCTTTTTTTTGCTGCTGTGAACGCGCTTAACGTCACCGATCGTTGGGCTCTTTATCGATGCCTTTTCAACGACTTTGACATTTTTCTCTTGCTTGAGAGACTTAGTAACTGTTTTATTACTTGGTGATTCTTGTCGATGTTTACGCGAATGCAGAGGCAAGTCGGAAATGGCCGAAGGGAATAATAGCACATCCTTCTTTCTACTTTGCTCGGAGAAAGTTTCCGATTGTTTAATAGAATTATTGAAGTTTCTATACATCAAACGTGTCGATATCTTTTTTTCCTTTTTGTTTGGTTCGTCAATCTGAAAACACATGAACGGTTTTTATTTCTCCAATTTGAAGGAAGAAGGAAGTTATATGCGAAGGAAGTTAATTAATTTGGGATAATGACCTGTGTCGGAGTCGCATTTAGGAAGCCTTTCTCCGGCAGGGAAAGTGGTTTTCTCAGTAACGGCAGTATCGCATTGCTGTTGCTGTTAATCTGATTAGACCTGACGACTTCAACTTTTTGTTTCGGGATTCTGCAACGCACCGGTCCACGTTTCTTCGTGAAGATCGTCTTCGTTACAGTCACCGGCACGAAAACGTTCTCCGTGACCACTTCCACATTCTTTACTGAGTTCGTCTTCGGTGTCGCGGTTTTGTACGCACGCTGCTGGCTTTTCGCCACACTCTTTGACTGATTTTGTCGCATTATACTAAACCCCCTTTCGTTGATTTTATTTCATTTTACACGTCCACTTGTCAATTTCTGACATCTCGGAAATAAAGTTAACATCAACTTCCGGGAAACTGAAACGTTCAATAATTTTGCCGAGGAAGCTTAGCAGACAGATGGTCCCATTGTTGTTGTTTCTTCTGTACGTAGAAATTTTATCAAATTTTATTAACCAAAAGTATACGTACTCGATTGAACATATATTCAAAAGGGGAGAAAGGAACACATGTTTCTAATAATTACGAAACGCGCTTATATTCATGCGATTTGCGCGAGCGACGGGTCTCGGTTGGATCGATTGGTCGGTTAATTATAGTCGTTCTTATCACCGTGGATAGTTTTTATTTGTAAAAAATATAATAATATAATAATGACGCTGCTGACAGTAGCGATTATTCTCAACGATGGTAAAGTGGTGCTGACAACGACGAGAAACGGCAGTAACAATAACGATGCAACAATAACGTTTCACGTAACCGCGCGATGACAATTATTACATCAATCGTCTTGAATAATAACGACAACGAGACGATAAATCAGTATAACAATAACGTGTATAATGACGCCGACGATTAGTCCGAAATGATATATACAATATATAATAAAAAACATATCATTAGTGGTATAAAAAGAGAATCAATCCATAGGTAAATAGATTGTCAGAATGATTTCGGTGTCTGCAATCGTTCAAATCGATGACACTGGTCACGATTAAATATTATTTATTGCGATTGCAGCAGCGTGGTCGACTTGATCGATTTTTCCGCGTTCAATATACAGGATGTCCCAGAAAAAGTGTTGATGCCGAAGAGAGATAATTCTGTAAGTATTTCTGAACAACAATTTCCTTTGCCAAAATGCAAAGTGAGGCATGGTTTTTGAATTATTAACGAAGAACACTGATCAATGAAAGCATAGAATTCGCGCTCAGTCACGGGTAGGCTGGTTCGGATCGTGACGCCCGGCCGTGGCATAGCGCGGGCCATGGTCATTATTGGCATTATTGGTCAGTGTTTTTCGTTAATAATTCAAAAATCATGCCTCACTTTGTATTTTGGAAAGGAAAGGAAATTGTAGTTCAGAAACACTTACAGAATCACCTCTCTTCGGCTCTAACACTTTTTCTGGGACACTCTGTACAGTGAAGTCCACAACAAGGTAGCGGATTTCTTAATTACCGCGATACCAATCAACGATTAAATTGTAGTTAATTTTAATCGATAATTGTAGCATTATTTAATCATAAGAATTAAAATTCAGTCGTTAATCCGAATTCCTTTCAATTAAGCTAATTAAACAATTTTAATTCTTAATCAGAATCGAGGACCAAACGTTAATTGCCAATTAGAGTTCAATTGAGTCAAAGATTTAATCATTTATCTGCAACCCCCTTAGAGAGTTGAATAAAAAACTTAAAATTTATGCCTGTACCTTTTCATTCGTAAGTCCGACCCATAGCAATTATTTTTAATTTTTTGTTATATGCTATTTAAAAAGACGTTATTCAACTTTGAAATGTGTTCAAATGCTTATGGACCTCACTGTATGGATTCGTAACCGAGAAAGACAAACAGATCACGATCTTCATTACATAAATGTTACGCATCGTCTCTCGTTTGCCTTCTTACACACGTAAGCATACAATATATTCGTGAACATCGTCTCAACGCGTGCACAATCCCGTTTAATTACTGTAAAATGCGCCCACGCGTCGCGAATATCCATTTAATTTCCTATTTGAATGTTTCCTACTAATGTTTCAAGATTACATTAAGTGTGATCTAATCAGAGAACTCGAATTATATATACAAACGAACAAGACGTTCTGCCGATAACAATTTCTTTCCTTTCATCGATGTTTGATTTAAAACTATGTTGTTGTTATTATTGTAATTATTATTATTATTATTATTATTATTATTATTATTATTATTATTATTATTATTATTATTATTATTATTATTATTATTATTATTATTATTATTATTATTATTATTATTATTATTATTATTATTATTATTATTATTATTATTATTATTATTATTATTATTATTATCCCGAGGCTACACTGTGAGACACGTTCCCCGTCCTCGAATATATACAAATTTGTTTGGCATATCCTCGAGAAATAACGCGCGCAATATTGTATATCCTCTAAAGGGATGAATTGTATATCGTCTGTAATCACGCGCGGGCTAAACATTCGCAGGCACTCTTTATCAATGTGTGATTAACGCGAGTACAATTGTGCAAAAAATTAGATGAATATCGATACAGGGAATCAACGATGTTTCCGTGAACAGAACTGTATGAATGAAACCTTGTCGAACCTACTTATATGTGTACATATACGCGTTTACTATGCGCGAATGCAAAAAGATTCGTGTTCGCAGTTATCTCCAAAAGAAAAGAAAATACTCGTTTTAATTAAATGTTATGTTTGATCACGGTAGATTGGTGTTACCTCACCTGAAAAATTCTCCATGAGGTGAGAATTTTTAATATCTACCTCTTTTTAACAAATTTTGAATAGAAATGGAACCTACTCTCTTTACATTGTGATGGAAAATAAATCAATTGCAGGGGCAAAGAAACCCCGGGTTACGGTATATCGGAAGATCTATTCTTTGCTATCCGATATTTTAGTTTCATTTCAATTTTATGTATAATATATATATCACTTCAGCTATCTGATAACTCTACCTATTTAATCAGTCATCCACCTAATTACCGTTGTTTCATCTTTCCTGCTCATTGGCATGAGCGAACCGAATGGAGCGATAAAATTCCTTTTAAAGGCTCACGCTCGGTTTGATACGAACGTCGAGCATCGATCTTAGTGTTCACGTCCCACGTAGATAGCTAAACGAACTCGAGGAACAGAAAGGAGAACAGAAGAAGGGGATCCTCCGACAGGTTTGGTATTTGTACTCGTATCCGTGTTTTGTAATCATGTTCGTGTCAATAGGGTACGTGAATGTCTCTAGAGACGGTGCGCCGCCTGCAAATTTTACAAACTGTTATCAAGCAGGCGAGACCGACGAGAATGGCGAGGGCCGCGCCTAAACCGGCGCCAGCCCATCCGGCGTTGCCGACTACATTGGCTAGCCCTCTGACGCCGGATCCGGAACCGGAAACGTCGCCGCGTTTACCGGCGGGGTCCGAGCCGCAAGTCTCGAGGGATTCGTCGTTAGGTTCCCCAGTTGTCGCAAGCAAATCGGTACCATTGTGCATGTTTTTGTACACCGATATTTCCGGAACGGGGCAATTGACAACTCCGTTGCACACGAGTCTCGCGGGTATGCAACCTGTATCGCCGGGGCATTGAAATCCGCAGAATTCCTCCAGCTTCTGAGTGTTCAACCCGCCGGAACCGTCCCGAGGCAAATGATACAATTCCGTCCAGGCGATCTTAAACGCGGCTCTCGCGGGTGCCATCGTCCCGGTAAACTGAATCGTCACCGTTGGCCACTCGAGTTCTTCGTGTTGTTGATCCGTTGAAAAAGGCGGTGGTACTGGTTGCTGCAAATGCGTCTGCATAGGATCCACGTAATGAGTAGAATCGTGATCCCCGTTTCGAGTATGCGGAGAGATCTGACTCGCCGATATGACCGGCATCTCTCTGACGGAACTCACGTTCTCGCCACATATACCGAGGAACGGTTCAATCTTCCCGGGCAAAAATATCTCCAATTTCCCGTCCTCGCAGGATCTCGAGGCGAATTTTATCTTGTCGAAGTGTAGCCAGACGTCTCTGTCTCGGTTCACACGTATCTCCCAGATACATTTTATCGATCTTGGCGGCGCGACATATCCGATCGCTTCGTAGTGAGGAAATTCAATCTCGCCGTCGATCGTAGCTGGCAGTATCGCTGGACCGCATAAGGGACTGTGAGCGAATTCGTATCTCGCCTCGAACAACGGCGCTGATTGCTTGAAGTACCTTGCTGTAGCGTGCGCACCGTCCATCAGGAGTTTCAATTCCAGCTTTTCGCCCTGTGAAACCACGCGAAGCACCGGTTGGCCTTCGTTCGATCCATTGGCTACCGTCGATCGACAGATGCAGTGACCTTTTCCGATACTTCTTTTTTTATGTTGACGTTGTTGCTGCTGGTGCTGGTTGTACGGCTGCTGCTGCGGATATTGATCGGCGACGTCAGAGGCTGGCGGCTCTCTAACGATTAATCGATCGACTCGGCTGTCCCAACAATGACCGCACTGGGAGTACGGGTGTTCTTTAAAAGACACGGAGTCCACGATCAGTATCACTCGTGCGTATAATCGCTTGTCCGTGATGAAGGTATACGTGCAAGAAAGATCAGCCGGTGGGTTACCGGGTCGCTTGTAAACGAGGCTGTTCAACGGCGATCGAAATCGACCGGCGTGCTCTCTCCAAGAGGCGAACGTCTCGTCGCATTCCGTTCCGATCACAGGCTCGCCGAATCTGGTCGCGTTGAAGAAATCGTAATGCGCCCAGTAGTACAACGAACTACCGGAATAGCTACCGGTTTTGCTTTCGAATTTCACGAACAAAGCGTTCGAACTTGATACAAAATCGTGCTTCTCCATCGGTTTACTGAACGTGTCGCAGAAGGTTTTAATGATCTTCGCGTCATCGGGCCAGTCGGCGTCATAGAGAGTCAGGCTTTCGCCACAGTCGCCGTCGTACGATTGTATGGGCGACTCGATGCGATTCACACGGAAACTGGGAAAGTAAAGTCTTGCTATTTCTCCAGGTCGACCCTTTAGAAGGTAAGTACAGCTAGTGTGCGGTGGGTACCAATGCGCGACCGAGAGGAACATTCCCTCGGTGCCGTTGTGTAACGACTCGCTGTTCAGCAGCCAATTGCAACTGCCGTTACGGACGCCGGCTGTTTCCACGCGTCCCGGCGAATTTCCAACGTTGAAGTGAAAACCGGTGTTTAGAAGTGGCCCCGCTGGCGACGAGACGAACTCCACGTACAGATCTTCGCTAGTGCCGATTATGCTGTATGGGAATTTGCCCATCCCGCAGAAGGTGCCGATCGTCGGACTATTTTCGTCTTTGCCGTCGTACACGCGTAAGTAGTCGTACGGGCAATGTTCCGAGCCAGAACTTATTGGTCTCATAGGGCAAGTCATTATGTTCTCGCATCTCTGCCCGTCGATGTTGAACTCCTCGTTCTCGATGTACAATTTTATGAAAGGCAGTCTGGTGTTAAGCCGGTATTTGCAGTGCAACGCGCGCGGGTAAATGCCCGGGTACGCCGGGCTCTGCACGTAACACGTCTGCAGCCTGCAATCTCTGAAGACCCGCTCGCAATAGCTACCGGGCACGATCTCGCCTCTTCGATTCGGATAGAGTTCCGGGTGCGGACCGAATCTTAAGTAAACCTCGAACTGTTGTTCCGACCGCGAGTCGAAACTGAAATACGTCTGATCGGTGAAGTTGTCCGCGTGGAATATCACACGGACGAAACTCGTCTCGGATATGAATGTTTGTGGTTGCTCCGACTCGCCGCAGTAGACACCCGGGTCCTTGCGATTACTCACTTCTGTTCTTGTATTTCCATCCACGATCTGCAAATACGTTACAATTTAACTAAATTCGTTTCAACGTAAAAAGAGACACAAATTCAATCACACGTTTGTACTTATTGTTAGTTCAAGTTTCCACTACTACCGAGAATTGTAAAACAAATATGTAACATCAACGAGCAAAATCAGAAATAAAAATCTACTTTCACCTTTAATTAAGAAATCTATTAGTTACAAAACTGGGAAGAAAAAAACTTTATAGGAAGAGTTTATGTATTCTAGTTAATAAATAAAATAACTTCACCTGTAAATATCCCCCGGAACAAGTAGTGGCATTTTCCAGTACGCCAACTTTGAACTTTTTGAAACGCACTCGCAGAATCCAATCTCGCGGGGTCCCGCGAAAGCCTTTGAAACGGTACCAGCAGGAGAGTGGTTTTCCCCAGTTCGCCGAGGTCACAGCCGGACTCGATACATCATCGGAAATGTCCACCGTTTTGTTACAGTGATCTCGATCCACTGTGCCCAGACAAATTTTATTATTCTTCAGTTCGTACGAAGCGTTCGATTTGCATTATAAATAGACAGCGAATTTTTAGACGAAATATTCATGACTATCAGTTAAAAAGATTTATTGTGAATAGAAATTTGTTTTATCATGTAAACATTGTAATGGGCAATCACCTTTTAATGTTTTCTATGTATTTACGAACGTGGTAAATGTTTTTTTATATTCTCCGCCGATATAATTTTTCTACGTATGCATAAGATCCGCTGTCTAATTATAAAACGATAAGTAAAACTGTTTACCTCTGCGGATAGCAGCAGGACTGGGGATGGCGAGAATGAACAAGAAAAAAGCAAAGAATCCCCAGCCCCACGCGCCCGATACCGCCGGTATAAGCATTCCAAGTTGAGCGCGCCGCTTCGTGATCTTCGGATGTCGTCAATCAGACTCAAACTTTTCTGTTTCTAGCATCGCTTGCTCTCTTCTAGGTCGCGGGACCTAAAAATTCAAGCAAATCTTACCGCAATGTTATTTTATCTACGTACACGTGTCTCAGTAAAAAATAATCAAACCAGACGACTTATCGTGCAGGGTTGCAGACATTTTTAACTGCCGCATTAACAATCAACGATTAACTTTATTTCAATTAACAATTGAAGTGTTCCTTAATTGATTATTGGAATTAAATTGTTAATTTAAGTTTCTTCCGATTAAGCATTAAATAGTTTTAATTCATAAACCGAAAAAATGTTCTGCAGGATTTATATAGTATTCATAGAGGATTGAGACAAAGATTAGCCTTAAGATTAACAAATAGATTAAGTTGTATTTATAAGATACTCTGCATTGATTTAGGAAAATTGAAACCGGCAAAGCGATTATTGTAATAATAATTTAAATTCCTAATTGAAGTTCTCTTAGTCAAATCCGAATCAAATACCGATCGTTAATGGTCAATTGGTGTTCAATTGGATTAATAAATTCAATTAACCGTTTACCTGCAACCCTGTTATTGTGTAAGGGAAAACGATTTAGGAAAAATGCGAATGCGGATTCTTACTTGTTGCCACAGGCTCCTCATCTTCGCGTCTACATCGCAAACGTAGCGACGCAGGACTACGAGGAGGTCAAAGGGAATTCTTAACAGAAATTCGTATACTGGTTTATGTGGATTAACCAAGTCCGGAAGTTGCTCGTTCCGTCGGTTTGCCCGTTCACTCCAAAACGGGGCTATAATTGATTCAATCCGTGTTAACTCTCCTCTTGTTCACAGTTCAGGACCGAGCAATAAATTACGTACATATTCACTCGACCTCCCCCTTTCTACGTACGCACGCGGCTACATAACTTTCACTCTTTCTGCTCCATTTTTCCCTGTTTTTTAAATTTATACAAATAAGTACACTGACTCCGGGGCTCTTCACAATTAGAACGAAAACGGCCCAACATCGATCATGACAGAGATGGGGACAAATTGTGATTCGAGGAATGTAGGACGCTGATCTGCTCGTGCAAAACTGGCGTGCTTTCGCGGTTCACTTCTTCGAAAATAGTCGATACATACCGTCATGGGTAATCATATACTTTGCACAGAATGAATGATCGCATCGGTAAACCGAATACGCGGTAAACACTGCGCGAGCGCGGACACGGTACCTCTTCTAGGCAATGGATACCGGGCTACCGCATTATCAAAAGATCATTAACTTAAACGTTCTTTCACCGAAAATAAAGAGTAAGGAATTCTTCTACGTCCGACCGATCAACGATTCGCATCGTACTCTGTATCCTCTCGCATTTTCCCTATACGTTTCTGCCGTTCCTATAACTCTATTGTCAGTATACACACGAAATTTCACTCGAAACGCGATAAATAATTGCCTCGCCGTCTATACGTTTATAGATTATGGATGGTGCGATTAAATGCGTCTACAGAAGGTGGTAAAAATACTACAAAGCCTGAGGAGTAACTAATAATACCGGGTAGCAATCAAGAAACAAAACGTCGAGCATTGCGACTGAAATTAAAAAGCAAAGATTGATGGGGTAGTTATGATAAAAAGAAGGAGATCTGTGTAAAAAAAGAACAGGATGTATAAAAAGAGAAAGGAAGAGAGATAGAGGCAAGTATAGAAACAGCAGGCAATTTTTTTAGATAGTGTACAGCGAAATAAATGAATGAATCGAATCGTTTGTATACCATACCAGTTAAGACATCGCGCTTCCATCGATGGGTAAGTCGAAAAGCTTGGAACCGTTGACTGGTTGATTGACTAGCTGACTAGCTGGCTGGATAGCTGGCTCGCTGGCTGCCTGGCTGGCTGGCTTAACGTCCGATGAGAGAGATTCGGGTCGAACGTCGCGCAAGCTCTCTACACCCTCTTTCTTCTTCGCTTTCCCTCTTGCTCTCTCTCGCTCCCCTATTCTTCTCTCTCGTTTTCTGTTTTCATTTCACTCGCGGTCCCTTTTCTTCCCATTCACGATTCTTTATTTCTCAACCGCGTCTCATCGCGTTTCATCGTATTGCACATACTATTCAAATGGTTTAACGCGTTCTACTCTACTTTGTGCTAGATTGTGTTCACTCCGTCAAGGGTTAACGTAAATAACGTTTATATAAGAATTCGGGACTGTAACAATAATGTACATCGTTTTGTATTTTATTAAGTTTTTCTTCCCTCCGTTGTTGTTCGAGCTTTTTCTTTTTAGAATCGATCGATGAATGTGTGAATGAACGATCAGCAGAGTTTAAAAATATTTCTGATCACGTTTTACATAAAAAATGATATAATAAACTCCGCAAATAGAACGAAATTAAATTTAGAGCTGGAAGATATGACGTTTCTTGTATTAAGAATTATTACGACCCGACGAGAAAATTGTACGAGGGTGGAAATAAGGGGTTTCGCTAATCAGGATGTGTTCAATCCGACAGCCCTTTCAAATAAAACTTAGCTCGTTTTGTTCAAGTTCATTATTTCGCTGGAGCATAAATGACGCGTCGAAGAGAAAGAGGAGAAACGGAAGAGTAATTGATGCGTAGAATTGAATCGTTGGGTAAATTGATATTATTTTATGCAACCGATTTATGCATCGTCTATTTATCTACTATACCTCGCCTTTTGCTCTTCCTCGCGAAACGATGTCTCGTTGATGTACACACTTAGTAGTTGCTCGATGAAAAACAGAATAACATTTATTTGATTTGATTTTGCAGTACAATAATATTATTATCGACAGTGAAAACTGAATACAACTCGTAATTTGGTTTCGAGCGCGTGACCAAAGTGTGTCTCCGCCTGCTGAAGTTTTTGGAAGATTCTGGGAACCGAGAAACTAAGATCTGTTCAGAATGAGATTGTGTAGATTTCAGAGTAGAACGAGTGCAATGAGGGAAACGCTTCGAGACGTTTTGAATTGTGTGGTTTAAATTATACATCATTAATTTATTCATCTCGTACCACGAGATCAAGCAGACATTATTTGTATTTTTTTTTTTCAACGTTCTTCGAAACGCAGAGAAGAAACATTCGAAGCGATGCATATTCATTTAAGAGTTTATTTACAAGTGGCAACAAAAATACTATCACCTCTTCCTGTATGATTATAATACGTTAATATCTTTTTTTGTTAGATAAACAGGCACGTCAGAAAGAAATTTCGATCGACGTAGTCAGCATAAGATTATTGCTTATTTTTTTCGTTTTTCTTTTTTTCTTCCTTTTTAAATAGAAACTTCGTAGAATCATACGCGGAGCTACGATCTAAAGTTTGTATCTACGATTCACGGGCACCTCGATAAACGCGAACGACCGATCGGTCGATAATATTCGAACGATGTAAATTAGAAGAACTAATTGAAAGAGGCCACAGAAATATTTCTCTTTTCTAAAATGTACAATTATTCAACGTCCAACAGAACCAACGTTTACGAAAATATTCAAACGTATATCGCAAAGGATATCCCATGGATCTTTATACGAAATAGATTTGTAAAAGGAAAAAAAAAAGAAGAAAAAAGATGCTCAGGCCCCGCGAGCGATATTTACAATGGAAAATTCAAAGGTTTTCCGATATAATCAACGTCCTAAAACATACGGCCTTCTTTTCAATGCGTGGCACTAAGGCGAACAACGTGAGCTGTTTCGACACAATATTTTTATCTATCGAGATTCAATATCTTTTTCGAATATATTACGATATGACTTCATTCAAGATGCTTTTTACATATAATACTCTTCCAACAGTGTTACAAATATTTATTCCTTCTTATAAATACGTAAAAGCTCCCGTCATCTCCTCGTACCTATATCATTATAAAACAAAGAGAATGCGGAGATCGAGACACGCACAATGCATACTGATGGATCATGATAGCAATGACGACGATGATCGTGTTACTATAGAGTTCAAGGGGGGGGGGGGGAAAGGCGTTTAACACCAAAACAAGCTGATAGAATCTGCCCTTTCTCACGTTTCATGTGATTATTTTCATTTATCGCGTAGAACAATAAACTGAGTGTCGAGTATTCGTCGTACGCAGAGACTAAAGTATAGACCATCGTGATGGTAACTAAAATGAAAAGTAGTACAGAACTCGATACGTAGACGTACGTATTTCGCTCTTGTACTAACGCGTCGATGATGAAGATGCATGAAGAGAGTTTTAAACTCGGCGTGGATTTATAGGCATCGATTTGAAATTTCCAACATTAAAGCGTGTGTGCATATGATCACTGGAGCACACATGAAAAAATGTGAGATACACGCGCGTGCGGATATAGTATTTGACAATGAGCGAGTAGCGCGATGTAACGAAAAAAAAGAAAAAAAGTAAATGTCCTACGTAATGATAGCCTAGTACGAACGACGGTTCAGTGGTCGTCCATTTCATGAACACGTTGACGTTTCGCCGATGGCTGTTGATGCTCGGGAGGTTCGGGACTTTCGACGATCGCGAGCGGCGCCGGTGAGCCTGGAGAACTATCCGATTCCTCGTGCGAACGCTTTCCAACTCCGACGCCTGCGTCGGGACTAATAAAGCTTCCACTGAACATAACAATACGAATCAATCAATCGCAACGAACCGACGAAGACGCGCATTGGTAAGTAAATGCTTACGTACCTATAGTTATATGTAGTCTGTACAATAACAGGAGCCGGACTGTATTGACCAGTCGGCGAGAGAGAGTGCTCTTCCGTAGTATTCCCGGATATACCGTATTTATCTGGAAAACATCGAACCGTATGTTTAAATGTTGCATATTAAAGCAGAGGTAAGGCGCAACAGGTAGGAGACCGCAGAAGGAAAATCGATGTGTACGAAAAGGAATTACCTTCTCTAGACGTGTCACCGACGACGCCGTTCGTGACAACAGTGATCTGTTGCATTAGGCGACCCTTGTGAGCCGGTTGACTGGTCGATGCGTACGGGTGGCCAGGCGACCCTGGCGCCGACTGACTACTCAGCTGACCAGCCGGGGAAGATACAGTACTATCCGGATAAGATTCCGGCCCCGGCGACGCTTCTCTGCTGAGACACTCGGGTGTAATCAACCCGCTGATCCCAACATGAGACGGAGAAGCCGGTGCACTCCTTTTCGACACGATTTCAAAATAAATGTATATAAAACTACACAACGATCAAGAAAAACGTACTCGTAACTTCTGCCCACCTCGAGGAGAGTCCGAATGGAGCTCGGAAACAAGGTACCCCGCGTTGCCTTTTCTGTCTGAACGCGCCTTCAGTTAGTTTCGCCTCTGACTGCGGATCTATCCGCCAGAACGATCCTTTCCCTGGCTCCTCTTGACTCCTTGGAACTTTGATAAAATAACGATTCAGCGAAAGATTATGCCTTATGGAATTCTGCCATCCTTTGTCCGCAGTCCTGTAGTACGGATAATTCTTGGTAATGTACGAATAAATGCCGGACAGCGTCAACTGTTTGTCCGCGGCGGACGCGATGGCTTGTACGATCAGTTGTGCATAGGAGTAAGGTGGTTTCGAGTCGTCCTTCGGCGGGCCGCTACCGCTACCGATACTGCTACTGCCTCTGTACCGTGACTCTACGCCTGGTTCGGGACTTATTTGCCTGCTCGAACTTTGCCCAGCGTCGACTCTCTCTATGTTAGAGTTTTGCGGATCGTACGCAGCTGCGTACACAGCTGCCATATGGAGGTCCGCGGCTACGTTTCTCCTTCCCTGTCCCGCGCGCGGACTAGCAGGACACGAGTTAGCAGCACTGATCGTGCCAGTAGGTGAAGGAAACGGGCTACTGTAGCCTGTATCCGGAATATTAATACGTAAGGGTGGTAATGGCGCTCTATGTTTTGGAGGAGAGGGTATTCGTGTATTACTTTGTTCTTGTTCATCTACTAGTGATTGAAACACGAGTCTTATATTTGTACTTGGAAATCTGAATGTGCACCTGTAACAAAAATATAAACGATGTTTCCTTTTTTCAAAGTATGAACGATGGACAAAGATGAAATGATAAGAAAATTAACAATACAATAGTAATGTGAAAATAAATAAATTGCATTTATTTATTTACTTGAAGAATATAGATTACGGATGTTTACACATTTATGGGAATTTTAAATAATTGAAAGAAACGGCGAGAAACAGGAAATATTCAAAGTAAAATAGAATTTGTAATAATTAGAGAAGAAAACAAATGTTTTCAATTTTATTTACAAAAAAGAAATTTGCATAAACGTCCGCAGTCTATTATTACAGAAGAAATCTAAGTACTTGAAAAGAGTCATTTCACAAGGCGGCTATAGGAAAGCGAGGGGACCATAATTTCTTTAACGAACGGAATGGTAGAGACGTTGGCGAACGAGGCTATCGAAAAACTGTGTTCATCAGCGGCATGCGAGAAACGTGTAGGAAAGGTTAAGTCGGCACGATAAAATCTCGATAAACATATCTTACGTCTTTGGTAATTGGAAGCCAGGCGACGCACCCTTTCGCTGAAAGACTCCGTCAACAAAAACGCCGTTTTTACCGTTGCAGACCATGAAGAAAAACGGATGATCGTAAAAGATTTCGAGGTGTCGTCGTGAGATAAAACTGGAGTGGCCCATGTTGACGTCGACCTCACCCTTGCTGCTGTTACGTCCGATGGTGATACGCCGCTGTCTAACCATGTATTCGAACTCGCGACCCTCTAGCCGTGCAATCGGCGCACCTTTTGCCTCAGGATTCCACTGCATCTTCGTCGGGCTGGCCGGTGCCGATTTCAGTGCCAGAAGGGCCCACGCGTCGCTCTCCTGAGTACGGGAGTACGTAGTAGACATAGCAGCACCGAGTGAGCGAACCCACCTTCGGGATAGAATGAGAGAGGGAGAAAAAGGAGAAGTAGACAAGATATAGATAGATAGAGAGATAGATAGATAAACGAATAGATAATTGAGGAGATGACTATAGATACATAGACGTGGACAGAGAATGACGAATTATCGAGAAACAATGCTGGAATCACCTTGTATATACACAAGTGTGCGCGCGCGCGCGCGCGTATATATATGCCGCAGACGTAAAGAGGAAACCGACGAGGTTAATTATAAACGAGCCGAATTATAATTAAGGGCGACAATTAAGTAGGAGGACACGGGCAAAATAAATTGTCCGATTAATTATAAAGATTGGCCTGCGAATATTCGCCGAGCGATCGATCGACTAATCGACTTGGGGATTGATCATCGACCGGTCGATTGGTTAATTAAATAATCGAGCGTCATCGAGTCGAAATACAAACAAATATCACACTTTAAATAAGATAATTATGGATGTATAGCGAATTCCGATCGTTAATTCTCCCGACAATTCATTATTCGAGGATGTACATATACATACATATACATACGATTGTTCACCGATGCACGGGTAGATAAACAGTTGATAATTTCGTGTACACAATAAATAATATGTATAATATATATACATATATGTACATATATGTATATATAAATATATATATGTGTAACAGTGCATGTGTACTTGAGAATGAATCTCAACAATTATGCCGGTTTATCCATTATTTCTCATATTGCATCGAAGATTCGTGCTTGGAATTTGCGATAACTTTTACATACTTACCTTCCCGATGTCTCAAAAACGTGATTAATATGCAGGTTCGTTATATTGTTTTCGTCTACGGTTGCTCTTGTCCGATCTATCTACTCTTTGCACCGATCGTACGGTCGCCGTATCAAAAATTGAACCGTAAATTAATGGTAAATACAACGATATAAATACCGAATTATCACAGAACACGCGTGCCCGTACTCATCCGTACCGTGCTAACCGTACACATTCGTGCGACTGACGATGAATGTCGCGCGAGTAAATAGAATATTACGTGATGTAAACAGAAGTGATAACATTCGATTCGAAATATCAAAATAATGTTACAATGACATGGAGTCTCCGGTTTGTCGTCAAATATTCTGACGCACTATTAAAAATTCGTTAGCCTCGATCGGAATTCGTACATAATACACGTACACGCAGTAATATGTAAGTGCAACGTACTTTTGCGTATACATAAATACTTGTACGCGCGAAATATAGAAAACACGTGTTATGAAACATTATAAGCATGTATTCGTCGTTAGATGAAATGCGCACAACGTTGTTAGTAAATTGATCATGAACGGTTATGTGTGAATCTCCAGCGTGCAATCATGAATGTTATGGAACATGTTAAAGTCAATGATGACAATAACGACGCTTACGATGACGGCGTTTATGGTCTTGTAACAAAACTGAGCCTACACATATTAGAAACATATCGACCGATCCAAAGGAGCGTACAGTTCACTTACGATCATGATGCCAGAATAATCAAACGTTTACGGACTAAAGCCTTCGAAATATTATTGAACAGAGGCAATCAACATGTCCCGAATCATGATTACAAGGAATCCGACGAGATAGATCCATTTTTAGAAATCGAGAAACATATATTCACTTTGAGGGTGGGATTGAAGCATTCTTCCGATGCTAAGGAGTTAGAAAATCTGGTAGAAGAACTCGAGGAATTCCCCTGCACTGATATAACAATTTCTCCTGTTTTACGACTACTGTTGCATTTGAGAAGTTTCAATGCAACCTCAGACCCGATCACGAATGTATTTTACTGTAACAAAATTAATCCCATGATTCCTGAGATGATACATAATGACAATGAGATACCACCGTTCCAAATGTATCCTATGGAATCTTTCATACAATCAGAGAAATTTGAAGCAACACTCCAGACACAGAGGTTCCAAATTACAAGAGCCACACCTGTGAGCATTATGAATGAGTTGAATTTTTTGCACGATTCAATAAAACCCAGGACCTTGATGGCAATCGAGTCAAGTGACACACCTATTGTATGTGATTTTATGTCCAGCCACGTATTCGAAAAGATACCGTCGTCTTCTTTGCTATCTCTAAATCAGAACCTGATAGTGAATTCCGAATTCGAGCAGTGTGCCTCACAAAATAATATACTTACTGATAAATGTGAAAATCTGTATTCTTTTTCCTCCGAGAGGGGACTGGTAACAAATTACTTGTATCTTCCTCTTAAGCATACAAATACAGAAGAGAATGCAAGCATCACAGGTACGTGCAAATTGTTTGATCAGAGCGTTGTCAATGAATCACAAAGCACTATGGATATTTGGAATTATGTCTGGAGTCAGAGTGACATCACTGATAATCTATCTAGTCTAAATCGTCAAACTTGGGAACATTTTGGAGAGATACAATCCATTAAAGAGCCTATGTTTCTCACAGACACTTCAGTAGCAGCTATACATTTGGAAAAAATTCGCCAAATGAATAATTTACCTCTACTCTCAGAAAAAATAATAAATAGTGTGTCTCTCTTAGAAGAAATTCCAATTACTGAATTTATAAAGGATATGAAGTCAATGTTACTGGGGCTAGAATCAAATTCCTTTGAGTATAGACAAGCAACAGGATTCGCCTTGCGTAAAAATATCAGCGTGTACGGAGTAGCTCCAGAATCATTAGAAAGTATTTGTCAAGAACCTATTGATTGGGGCAATAGTTATAAATTTTTATCAGATCTCGTCGCGCTAAAGGCGCAGAATAATGAATTGTTTCAAGAAGGATTGATATTTAAAGCTATGTGTGACAACATCAAAGAATTGGTGTTTTACTATCAAACGGTGCTTCTAAGAATTTTTTCTTGTGAAAATGATTCAGACAGACTGTTGAGAATACTTCAGAAAGTACGTTCCGTGGCTTCGATAATTAGTAAAGTCGGCAAAGTTTGCGAGCCTTACAAAGAGACCCAGAACATACTCAGAGGAGAAGGTAGCATTCTGACGAGAATTTATAACGAGGCAATCAAAGTTACGGATCCTAAAGTCGCCGTAGTATTTTATTCTTTGCTAAAATCTTGTTGCGAGATTTACTTTCGATTTTTACAGAAGTGGATATTCCAAGGAATATGCGACGATATTTACGGGGAGTTCATGATCAAAACGCGACCGCAATATTTACGTAACAGAAGTCATAAATTTTGGGCACATAGTTTCAGAATTTATAACGACGCAGTTCCGGGGTTTTTAAGCGATCTAGCAGAATCGATACTTCAGTGCGGAAAGACTGTAAGACTTCTAAGAACCTGCGACTCGAAAAATCCAGTATGTCACGTTTGTGTGACCGAACCACCGGAAATAAAAGTCTGTTTAAATGCAGACGCGATAGAGGAACAGTCATTAAGATGTTGGGAGTACGAGAAGAAAGGGAAATCTGCTCTTGGCTCGATTCTTTCTTTGTCTACGGCTATTTCCGAGCAGAAACGATTAGAGAAGAAGATATCGGACGTCATCCATACGCAGCGCGATGCGTTATTGAAATCTCGTGAGAAAGAAGAACGGGAGAACGCTTTAAAAATAGCTCAAGCAAAACAAAATTATTTGGTGAGCTCGCAAGAACAAATATTAGTAAATGACTTGCAAGAAAAAAAGAAAGATGAGGAAGAAACTGAATTGACTAACGAGACGCTTTCGGAGGTCGAAAGTTTGGAAACTCCGCTAGAGGAAGTGAACGATTTGCAGCAGAAAAAGGAACTTTCGAACGAAATAATCGCGGAAATCCAAGCTGAAGAGTGTATAATAAAGGAAAAGTCGCGAGATATAGAACGAACGAATATCTTAAATTATTATGAGAATCTAGCTAATGATATTAATCAACGGTGTATGCGTTCGCAGTGGCGCATTAAAAGAATGAAATTGTATGAGGAGAGGGTGGATGCGTTGCACACAGCAAATAAGGATTCCAGGGACCAACTGATAAGAATCGAAATGCCTGGAGTAATAACTTCAGGTTTCCCAGTCGGAAATCCAAGACAAGACGAGAACAGGAATTATACGGAAACGTCTTTGCGCAGGTTTATGTTAGATACAAGAACAAAATCGCGTGACAAGATTGATCAGTTAGATACTACGGAAAGTCATAGTTCGCTTATAAGTAACGCACATAAAACGATAAGCAATGATAACGAGAAACACGAATTTCAAGGTTTCCCAGGAACACTGAACGTTGGAGCGATCACGGAAATTTCATCGACTAAGAGCACGACGAATACACGTGTGAACGAAATGTTCGAAAATCTTTCGATCAATTCGACGCAACGTTCCTTAGAAAGGCCTACTACTTTGAATGTGTTAAAAGTCGATAATGCGAAATCTGAAATCGATGGAATGCAATCGTTGTTGAGGTGTAACATGACACCGAATAACAACGAACCTGCCGTAATCGAGTTTACTCCTAATGCGAATGAAGTAACCGGTCTGACTATTCGTATCGACAACGCGACGATTTTAAATCAAGGGAACACTGATTTGGAAACACCCATGTCGTGTACAACCGATAATTTTACAATATCTTCAATCCAGAGTCCTAATTCGCAGACGTATAATCTGGAAAACTCGTCTCCCACAGAGATTTCTTCCGTGATTGTACAATCAAGCTGCTCTCAACCGATGTCTAAATCGTCTCTTACCATAAAAAGAGACGCAACGTTTTCAGATATATTCGAGTTAGCTTATGATGAAAAAACCAGCGGATCAACTGTAGCACCTCTGAGTATCAACGACGTGGAGATGATCGATCACATCTCTCTTCAAGCCTATTTAGAAAAGTCGATTCGCATTCCTCTGAATATACAGAGTCGCCTCGTTAACAATGCCGTCATAAAGTATTTTTTAAACGAGAACAGTTTGCTCTCGCATTTGCATAGTTTGCGTAGTTACTTCTTTCTGTTGAACGGAGAATTTGCAAAGAGTTTAACTGACTCTTTGTATGCTCGTTTATACGAGATCTCTATACCCACCGAATTATTTAACTCCGCTACGTTGACTAATCTTCTCGAGCGGGCGCTCACTCATTCGTTCAGCAAAGTTCATATGAATTCGGAACTCGTCAGTCTTTCGGCAACGGACGTACCGTCACAGTTGCATATATCGGACCCAACGGCATTGGACTGTCTCTCTCTCAATTACAAAATACATTGGCCACTGAACATTATACTCGACGAAGCAGTGATGGTACAATACCGCAAGGTATTTAAATTCTTGATAACAAGCGGTCGCGTTTCATGGGTGCTGCAAGAAGACTTCAATATCATGAAGAGGGAACGTAAAGCGATCACATCGGAACAGTATCACAAACTCCAATTATATAGACACTCAATGACCCAATTTATGAACGCGTTGCACAATTATTTAACGTGCAGCGTGTTGCACGCGAGTTGGACCGAATTCGAAAAAGACTTGGAGCATTCCTTAACCGTGGATCAAATTTATTCCTCGCATATCAATTACGTGAAACGGATACTCTCGAGATGTATGCTAAATACTCACGGCGAAAAAGTACGTGTTTGTTTGAACAGCATATTTAAAGTGATTCTGCAATTCCATAATAGGATAAGGTCCCAGAACTGGATAAAGAGATCTACGGGATACGTACATCCGAACTTCAAGAAGTTGGAACAAATGTATAAAGCATTCTGCGAACTGCGGACGTACATAGCGCACGTCGCGTTTAAGTTAGCCACAAGCGGATATCAACCGCATTTAATGCACTTCTTAAATTCTCTTAATATAAATCACCTGTACGATTTAACTGTTAAAACATCCCGAAGCTCTGCGAGCGTCTCGGAAATTAACAATCAGAAGGAAGCCTGTTGAACTGGGAGGATTCTGTTCTTAAATGAAAAATCTTATTTTATGTTACCAGATAATAAGAATACGTCTTCGCACATTTTGTTACATAATCGCAGTCATCGGTTTATCTTTGGCAAGTACACTGGCGCAGCGTGAACAGAGTCCGTCTGCTCGAGTCTCAGGATATCTTCTGCACCGTTCGCAAGCGGACTTCTGAATCTCGTGTACTTGTATCCGCGTTTCCGTAATCGTATCGCTTTCGGTCAACGTCACCGAGGATAACTGTAGTATTTCGCATAATTCTGAAAGTGACGGCTGTTCCTCGTCGTAAAGGAGCTGCACAAGCAGAAAATGGAATGAGAGCGCGTGCGTGTGTAAATATTATTTTTCTATGCATACTTACTGAAAGCGAGCGGAAATCTTTGTTTGTAGCTTCTATGACACCATGCATTTTCCATGTATTTTTATCGGTAGTTCTCAAAATGTTGTTCCTCAACGTAAGCGCCGCGTCTACGTATTCTACAATCGTTGGATCGTTCCAAGACGATGGTATCTCGTATTGCGTACAATGTAACGGCATCGCTGCATCGAAATTATTGATTAATATAGGTATTTTAAGATCTCGAGAATAGACGAGAACAACTTTACCTTGATTTTCAGTATAATGCGACCATGCTTCTTCTGCTAAATGCGGGATGATTGGAGCGATACGTCGTAAAAGGACAATTAATATTTCTTTTACGACTTGCACCGCCGCGACGCGCGTCGGAGATAGTGCCTCGTCGCAGTAGAGCCTATCCTTGATTAAAGTACAATAAAGGGCAGACACGTCGTTCGTTGTAAAGTTCATGATCGCTTTACCCGCATGGTGATACTCATACTCGTTGTAATGTTGCTGCATCTAATAGAGGCGATTGTTGTATTACGTTTATCAATAAATTATTTATACAATTACGGAAGATATTGTTACCTGTTTGTTATAACGGTACAACAAGTACAACATGTATTTGTCAATAATTCGATATTGTACACTGCTGTTCGTGTCTTGACGATGAGAATGTGCAACACCCAAGAGGAAACGCAGTATCAGACGAATTTTATGGATGTACTGTTTACAGCCTTCGAGCAAATCTTTTGAAACTGGTACTTTTGTATGTTGCGAACCATGATTAGCTACCCACCACCTAAATAATGTTAAAATCACAAATACTGTTTTGTTAAATAATTTTTATTGTAATTGCGGTACCTTAAAATATCCACACCGTATACTGGATTCTTTTCCAAATTAGAACCGCCTAGTAAAAGTTCATCTGGATTTATCACGTTTCCCAGTGATTTGGACATTTTCATGTTATTCTCATCGACTGCAAACCCATGTACAAATAAAGCACTAATAAAAAAAGAGGAAATATAATAAGTGTACATTTTTTCTCTGCTGGAGGTGATCGGGACTACAGGCCGCGTTACGGGCCGCAGGCAGTAATACGAGCCACATGTAATGTGCCAAGCCTGTTGGCTCGTCTCGTGCAGATTTCTGACCCCTATTACTTACTTGTAAGGTGGACGTTCCTGCAAAGCTACTGATGTAATTAAGGACGATTGAAACCAGCCACTAAATTGATCGTTCCCTTCTAAATAAAGATTTGCTTCTCCGTTCGGTGTAGCAAACGACCACGAAATTCCGCTATCAAACCAAATGTCCATAATATCCTAGAAAATATTTCTAATTTACATATCTTCCAAGATTGCAGACTTAATTGCAGTTTACCTTTCCTTTTTCTATATCGTCTACGGGAACGTTTAATCGTTTAATTAGATCTGTTCCTATTAATTCCTCTGCCGAATATTCCCACCAACAATCAGGACCGAACTTGTCTATCGAATCGCACAAACGATCAACTATTTCTCTATAAGCGATAGCGAAATAAGTAAAGTATCTAAACGATGACGAAGTGAATATGACATAAAATATAACGTCAGCTTACTTATTTGTGAACACTTTGCCTGTTGTTTTACTGTACAGTACGGGTATCGGTGTTCCCCAAGAACGTTGTCGGGAAATACACCAGTACGGTCGAGTCTGTACTCCAGCGAGTAAAGCATTCTTGGAGGCTGCCCGATTACACTTCGGATATATTTTCACGTCCGTAATACTGTCCTTACGAAATTAGACAAGCAATATTTTAATAATTATCTGATAATAAAAAAAGTAGTTAAATCAATTTTGACGACTTACAATCACTTTTTCTCTGATAGAATTTATATCGATGAACCATTGATTACTAGCAAGAAGGATAACTGGTTTCTTAGTTCGCCAGTCATATGGATAACTGTGCGTTATCGTTTCAATATGCAGCATATCCAGATTTACAGTCTCTATCACTTTAGTAACACCCTCGGTTTGCACTTGTAATCCATGAAATCTCGGACCGGCCGCTTCGGTATACCGTCCGTCTGCATCTACCACGATTAACTGCAATATGTAATATGTAATACACAAGTCTTTGTTACGGATAGGAAAGTAAATACGACTTAACAGCTTACAATGCGCATTTTATTCTCGAGGGCAACCAGAAAATCTTCTGGGCCGTGTGCAGGCGCGATATGAACTAGACCAGTTCCGACGTCTGTCGTAACGTGACGGGCAGCCAAAAAGGGGCATTTTTCTTTCGTAAAGGGATGAAAGTACGTGCTGTCCTTCAATTCGCTGCCTGGAACGATTTTTGTTTAAAATAGTATAAGTATTACTAGGCTGCGGATTTTTGTACAAACTAGAACTATCATTTAAGAAATTATATTTAAAATGAATGTCCTTGAATTCCTTAAACATCATTGCCGTTGATACTTTATGCACTTCTGTTATGAATGGATAAAATCTGTAGTCTGTCACAAATATTTTAATGACTTTTGAATTCACCTTCAAAGTACTCGATTGGTTCCAAAGGACCGATCTTTGATTCGAGATTTTTTAATAACTCTTTCGCGACAATATATAAGTCACTTTTACTGTCCTCGGCAAGACAGTACGTAGCATTTGTAGAGAAAGCTACAGCTTGATTGGCTACCAAGGACCATGGTGTAGTAGTCCATATTAATCCGTATATTGAACGATCTTTATATGAACTCAATCTTTCTGGTATATTATTGACACGTAGACGAACGGTCATGGCTTTACTTTTGTGAAGTTGATTGTATTCTAATTCAGACTCAGCTAACGCTGTTCTGCAATGGAAAAAATAACGAATATTATTATTAGTAAATGCGGAATGATTCCTTTTAATTTTAAGTAATTCACCTCGAAGATGGAGACCAATAGACTGGCATGAAGTCTCTAAATATGATACCTTTCTCATACAACTTTATGAACTGATTCAGTTGATTTTTCATGTACAAAGGCTGATTGGTAAAGTAACATCCAGTTTCACTCCAATCGGCTGTTACACCCCACGATTGGAAAGCTTGCTTTTGTTTGGCGATAGCTTCCTTTGCACATTTGCGAGCTGAAGGTAAAGAAAGAAATAGAATCAATGAGTTAAGAAAATAATATATAATCAATCATACCTCTTTTCCTAATCTCTAAGGGATCTCTCAGAGATTTATCATTATCAATAGCTTTTAGTTCAACTGGTAATCCATGACAGTCCCAACCAGGCACATAGTGAACTCTATTTCCATTTAAAATCTTATGCCTTAACGTCACATCTTTAAGAATCTACAAAGAGTATAATAATATAATACATTGAAACCATCATAATAAAATAGATGCTGATAGAAAAACAAGACCTTGTTAATAGCATGTCCCATGTGTGGAACACCATTTGCATAAGGAGGTCCATCATGCAATACAAAATCTGGGCCTGACAGATTATTCTTTTGCCATTGGTACAACTCAGGAAAACCACAAGTCTGTTAAAAATATGAATGGTAGCTTCATTCATCTTAACAGACATACATATATTATTATGAATTGATTTACTTTAGCTAAGTGTTCATCTTTTTCTATTCGTTCTTTCCCATTCAGTTGCACTCGAAATTGAGTTTGTGGAAGTAGAACTGTGTCAGAATATTTATTTCGCTTCTTCGGTGCAGTTTTCGTATCACCTGATCCTTTCTTTGCTTTGAGTGCCTGACTCGTGACGAACGTTCGCTTAATTAATAATCTATTCATTCTTGCAGTATTTATTTTATATATTACATAAAATCTGTTACTAGTAGGTTAATTCATCTTATTTATGTTGGGGTCAAGTTAGGTAATTAGTTTTCGATCAATTTAATTTTAATACATATCACGATCATTTATTGTTAATTTAATCTTTATATTCTCATAAATTTGTGACGAATAAATAGTTCTTATATTATACATCGACAAATATTTTCGGCGAATATGACTGTACGCACACGTGTCTGTTCTAACACATATACTATCATACTCATACTAACAAACCTATATAGATAGAAACAAACCGGCAGAATCATTATTATTCACAATCGCTGATGAAAATTAACTTGATGCATGTAAAAAGGAAAAGTAATTCTTAATTTTATTACACGTTTATTTGCACGATTTGTTACACGCGTTAAAAAAGGATGAAAGGGTTCTTCCAGCTACAAATGCAAAATTTGTATATAGTTCTATACGTTCCGTGAGAACTATACGTTTAAAAGAATTGCATAATGAATAAAGATGTTGGCCGGCAGAGGGGAAGAAAAGACAGAAGAAAGAAAGGAGATACAAGGCGCAGAGCAAATTTATCTTTCAGGATTGAGCTACAGCTAACATTTCTTCTTGGTGAATGAGATGAGTCGTGTGATTGACGAGACTCATCAGTTTCGATAACGAGGCTCCCCATGCGTCCAAGAGCGCGGCTGGCTCCTGCGTTCCTGTGAAACGAACCACACCGGCTGGACGATCCGTGCGCGCATTTATAACTCCAGTTTCTACTAAACTGCACAGACAGGCTTCCGTTTCCTCAACGGGTAAATCCAATAATTCAGCCATACGCGTTAACGTGATTTTTGTGTAATATTTGGCAATTATCCGGATATTCTGTAAGAGATAATGTAGATACTTTAAATAACGGCGTGTTAAAATGAAACAAGGTGTCAATGAAATAATATCAAACGTACGTGTTCAACAACGCGATTTCGAAGGTCGGTCCATCGCTTGTTACCCTCGTCGGTCCATGGGCTAAAGACTTCCGTGGCTCTAAGTTCCTTCTCGTAAATCTCGCAAAGCCCGGACCATTTGACCAACTCGGGGTTTACGAAAAGACGTAACAGCTCCCTAAATGAAAACTAATTAATATCGATACGAAATAAAACGTTATTCTGGAATACTTTAATGCATTACTTGTATGTTGGTATCTCGTCCAAGAGTTTATCGCTAAGCAGTCTATGAGTCAAGTCGGCTTGTTCTGGCTCATGCGGCGCAAGTACGAGGTAAAGTACAGCTCGTGAAAGAGCGGTGTGTCTTTTTTTGGGATCGTTCTTTACAGTTGGAGTTTCCAACACCGCCCGATTATGTCTACATAGTTCCAAGTGCCAGCCTTCATGTCGAGCCAACTCCATCATTAGACTAAAATAATAAAAACGATAAGGAAAACTACTAAGAGGCCAAATTTTGTATTTAATCTACTCACTCGTAGTATTTTAATTTGAGGGTCTGCGTTTCCTCATCATTATCATCAGTGAAGAATTTAATGTTGATCTTCTTAGCTATTATCTGTGTTCGCATGAAATCTTTCTTTGCTAAACATAGTCGCATTTGCTCTAGAATAAGTGCTGCTTTCTCCAGACGTGACATACTACCGTAGGTTTCAACCTAGAGCGAAGTACCATGTTACTGCCATATTATTTTAATTGTTAGATTGCGGATTGAAACTCTAAGTTCTATTTCACATAAAAACCCGCAATCTACTTATTGTATCATACTTGATTAAACTACATACTTGCAACTCGAGCATAACAGCTGCAGCACCTGAGATGTCTCCATCTTCTTCTTTGATTTTTGCCAACTGATGAGTGAGTTTTGCCCTTTCGACTTCCACGTATATCTTCAAGAACAGGACTACATTGATTTTTCAGACCATTTAATTAGGGTTACCATATTTTATTTCCTTCCAAAAGAGGACAAAATGGCATTTGATAGAAAAAAGAGGATATGTCCGAGGAACGGAGGAGGTAACTCTAATTTAATGATACAATTGTAAATAAAGACATGACTCAATCCCTTTACCTTTCCTTCTGTCACAGCACGCAACGTTTCGATCAATTTTATTTTGCTTTCCTTGTCAGGAGTTTTCTCTACATAAGTACAACATTCCTGAACCATTTTTGTAACAGCCTGTTTCAACTGAGACCGTCTTTTCGACAACAAAACTATATGCTCGTTTAAAACTGGCCAGTTCTTCGCCTCAAAACAGATTTGGACAACAGCTACAAGGATTCTCGACGTGGATGGCATGTCTGCGGCCTGAAGAATTTATTTTAATTATCTGCACATGTTCTAGAATGAATGTGTATATGAGATACTTAACGGTTCTAGCTAGTTTTTCCAATGCCAGTAATTGATCCAGAGCATCGTGCAGCTTTCCTTCCTGAGCCAATTTTATGCTTTCAGGAATTTTTGTATCGCAATTACTGCTATAATCCACCTCCATCTTCACAATCTTCCCAGAATCTATCACACTCTCAGGCATGTTTGCAAGTCCTTTATCCGAAAAGTAATCATAAACTTAATGTTCTTTTTTTTTAATAAAAGAATATAGAAGCCTAATGAATTACCTTGTGCTTATTAAAGTATGCAAAAATCGTAAAGTAAGTAATTTCCGTTTCGCTGATGCGATCACTTGTAAGCAATAACCATCAATCCTTTACTCGAAATTTATTCTCTCACTGTTCGATAAGTAGAGACGTACAAATTATTTCTGTTTAGGTATCAATTCGTATGTATAATTCGTGTACATTTAACATTACTCTCCTCGAAGATGACTCAAAAATGATTGTCATCCACCAAAGAACGAACACGGTTAGTTTTTCACGTCGCTGTCGCTACTTCTACATACGCGAAATATAGCTGCATAAGTTTTGTCCAGTACACCGCAGGGGAATTGTGCCAGAGACGTATCGTCTCGTGGACTTTTATTATTCTAACTCACGATTCGACTGCCATACCGACACGAAAAGTGAAGGTCTGAGTTTGAGATTTGAGAGTCTTCATGAATTAGGTC